GATCCAATTCGGGCCGCGTCGAATCGACGCGAGCGAGTAACGAGAATCGAAAAGATAACAACGTCATCGTGCATTTAAGAATAACCTGGTAACAGGATCGAATTCCTCGACTTCGAACAAAGAATCGAAGCTGGAAACTTTCCGAGGTAATCTTCGCCGAAATCGAAACTTTCAGTGTATCGAACCATTCTCTCGGATATCTAGAACGTAACATTACGGTGATATTAAGAAGATCCCAGGCTCTTTGCCTTTTAACTTTTACCGAGACCGGCATTTCGTCGCTCGAACTATGCCTCGTTCGTTGCGCAAACGAGTTCTCGAGAGGCGTATTTCCATGCTGGAACGCTCCCCGTTCATCCAGCGATGTAACGACGCTGACCAGAACGATGCGTTAATGCGTGGAAGGGAATTGTGCGAAGTCGTTGATGAATTCGCGTGCAAATCGACCTCGTGGGAGGTCATGTGGAATTAAGTTCCGCATTCTCGGCCCACAGCCCGAGGCAGCCGATACCTCCTCGCGCCTCCTTCGGCTTCCTCTCTCCACTCTTTTTCCAGCTTCTTTTTAATCTTCCGTCACCTCTTCCAAGAGATACCAGAGTATTCTGCCGGCTGCTGTCTTCGGCGACAGGTTGCTTGATAAAAGAGAAACCGTGCCTTTTACCTTGGACTTTCTTGACTCTTTCTTCGCAGCCCGACCCGATGACTTTGAGCCCGATGCAGTGGACTGGTTTGAACCGTGTTGTTCGGTTTTGTTTGGACAGGAACGCTAGGAATAACAGAGACGAAAGTAATCAGAGAAACTTACTCGATAATGATTGACTCGTACTACTGCGCTAAGCATCTCACCTATGACTTTACCACTGTCTATCGTGATCGAAACTCGGAGAAAAACGAATCAGATAATTTTTTAACGCAACCGGTAACGACCCAAATTTTTTTCAGACGACGACTGGGGAGCACCGGCAGAAGAGAACGACTATCTCCCCGAATCGGAGACAACAGGAACGAGTTTAACCTTACCGAGATTGCCCAGAAGTCCCGAGAGATTACCAGTTCAGGTGAACAGAGGTATCTCGCCGAGTTGCAACAGAAGTCGTAGAGCGGCAGAATTTAGACAAAGATCGCCGAGTCCTCAATACCAGCCTAGAGTGAGTCCTGGAGAGGTGACCAGTCCTAGAGAAAGATTCCAGGATGCCAAGGAGATGTTCAGAGCTATGGAGAGAGAGGCGATCGCCAGGCCTGTTCTTTCGAGGCAGAGAGACGTTGAAAGTCATCCTGCTCACAGGTACGGTGCAAACATTTTCAGCGATCTTCTGTTTATCTTTCTCCATTCGTGTGTTCTTTCTTTTTACAAAGGAAAGAATGCGAGTTTGAAGTTGGTAGCTTATTCGCTTGGAGAAGATAAACTATTCTTAATAAACGATTCCGAATAAGAGTCAGTAATTGAATTAGCAATTAGATACAGTTATAACAAATTGCTTAAGAATACATAATATTATACAGTTTGATGTTTTACGCTTTGTAAAACTATGGGATGAAAAGATGGAAACACTTTTACTCGATTCGATACGAAGTAACTTTCAGTGCCATAAATTAAGTATCGATCGTAACGAGTTCCTCGTAGCTGTTTTCTAATCCCGAGGAATTTATAATCGATTCGTCGATTCAGTTTCTCTCGAGCGACCAGAAAGACTAGTTTTAAAAGGCCAAGAATTACTCGCGTGTTTTTCCCGATCCGACGGTCGTTTTGGGCCAACAATCACCGGTGTCAATCTCAGGTAAAAGCTGTCCAACCACCTAACCCGTAACTCGAGTATTCTGAAGGGTCTACAGTTGTATACCGTCCGAGAGTACTCGTAAATTTCTCATTCAGAAAGCGAGACCGATATAATGAATTACGCCATTGTCGCGTTAATTGTTTTTACTAACTGTACGAAGAAAACTCTATGAATGTGATACATTAGACCTTTAAGGAGAGTATTAAAAATTAGATCGGATTAAAACGAGGTAGAAATACAAAACGTATAGAGCGATAGGATCGGAAATATGTTCTGGTTTTAATCGATATCCGTTATCTTATGCGACAGGATCGAATCGTCCAGGCACGCTCACGAGGATCAACCGGCTCGTCAGCATCCAGCGAGCATCAGTTCAACGACTGTCCATGAACACCTGATCAGACGAAATCATTCGGAAGTATCGGAACGGGAGAACGATATTTCTTACAGAGCTCGACCACGGCCACGAACCCATCATTATGCGATGGAACGCCCACCAGAACAAGAGGTCTCGAGGCCTCGGCCAAGAAGCTTGTACGAAAACCCAACGGTTGGAAGAGATTTCCGAGATCAAAGGAACGTCGCTGATCCGAGAGAAGTAAGGGTCATTGATTCTCCAACCTGTTGTTCGAGCATTCTGCTTCGAGAGAAACCTGTTCGAATCACCTTTGTTCCATGGAATTTTAGCCGTCTTTCACTTTTCTACAATATCGCATTTTCTACCTAAAACTCTCTTTCTACGTTTGTCCTTGAATTTCAAAGGTTTCGCTCCTATACTCTCGCAAATCATCTTGTCGCCCCTTCGCCATTCCTTCAAATATGTCCTTCTCGGTAGGACGAAGATTTGGTATACGTAGAATAAAATTCTAACAAGGAATACGTAAATGAATCCTACATCCTTTACGTCAATCCGTATTTTAAAGAGAGAAAAGTCCTCTCGAATACCTATCTAATTACGTCATAGTATGTCGTAACTGTTTTTAATAGAAACTGAAATCAACGATTTCCATTAACAGGTTCGAGACTTCCGAGACCGTGCACACGTGAGAGAAATACGCGAGAAGATACGCGCCAGGGCAACGACTTATCAAGAGCTGTCCGAACACGAGAGATACCCAGGACTCGATCGCGACAGTGCCAGACCTCCTCTGGAAATCGTGCCCACGCCGAGCAGATACCGACACAGCTACGCAGAACCTCCTAGACTCGGTCTGGCTGCTCTTCATCCTTACTGAGCCACCGGCTCGTTGTTGACTAATAAATTATTTAATTAATCGACGTATCGTTATCGTATCACGACTGCGACTAAGCAAAGGGTCGACGTTTGGCTGTCGCTGATAGCCATTCATTTTTGCAACTCTTCGAATATCAAGCATGACATTTGGCGATCTATTTTGAGAGATTCGACGCAAACTTTAAAGCTGCTGTATTGAAACCCAGCTGTTAGCGAGGGTTTCCAAGTTGAATTGGGAAAGAAAATTGTTAAAAATTTTCCTTCGGTCAAACATTCTTTTGTACCGTTTCTGGATAATACTCTTCGATCGAGATTTAATGTAGGATTAAGACTTTTGCGTTGATTAGTCAATTTTAATTCTAAAGTTAGACGACTTCGAGATTTTCTTTTCGATGCAATGAATGACTCGTATCGCTGAGGATTCACACGTTATTTTCTAATTTGCTACTTTAAACTATTACTTTAATATAAAAAAAAATGAAAATCATGATCGCAGTCGTATCGACGATGCCATTAACTGTTGCAACAACGCTCACGACAGTAAATTTAAATTAACTTTAAAAAAGTGAAGAATGGAATTCTTTGGGAATCTTGTATTTTTTCAGGGGATAAAATCACGCTCATAAATGAGCACTTTAGGTTTTATGACCAAGATTCTTGTCCGACAAAGTTCCAAGTATCCTTGGAAATTCAAGGATCGAGGATTTTTTCGTACGCCGATGTCGTCGGCCCTGAGCAACCCAAGACGAATAAAGATTGAACCTTTATTATTCTTCTTGCATTTACAAAGCTGCGTTTCGTTGCATCGTGGACCAAGATCCTCGAGTCGAGGATCGCTTTGTTGACTATTGATCGCGACTCCGAGCATTATATTGTTATCCGTCGGATTGCAGACTAACGATAATGATAGGATAATAACAGCAATAACACTGACAATAATAATAACAATAATAACGGTTAATAACAATAAACTATGTCGTTCTCTTTGCGTTCAGCTCCTTTCTTCACCTCCTCTTTCATAATATTTTTATTGCAATCGATTACTGATTAATTTTCCGTGCTAACCTTTCACATATTAGTAATTCATTAGGATCTAAATCTAAATTATCAGATTAGCAACGAAAGATTTTGCAAGGAACATTTAAGGATCGGAACAACGAACGGACTTGCTTAATAATTCATGGCACGATGCACCAGCGAAGTGCAAGGGTTTCCAAATAAATGTGCCACGTAAATTTCAGACGACCACGCAATAAATACTTCAGGGAGATAACCTTTATACGAACTGCGAATCCTTTTGTCTGTTTTACTGTCTTTTCTTGTTCCCTTCTAAATTATTACATCAACCCCAAGTATTAAACGATACGATCTGCGACCGGTCGTGACTTTTTTACCACGTCGATACACCGTCAACTGGAAAAATCGCCTCTCGTACAGCCTTACGGTACTAGTACGTTAATTCATTAACGCAGTTTCGAACACGTCACGAAAACTTCTCCGATATGGATACCGGCACACGTCCAGTAGAATCACGTACGGTGGCTCGTTAAATTGCTTTCATGGTTAACGGAGCAGGAAGTGGCCGATTTGCATTGTTCCCGTGTCTATAGTTGTTGCACGAATAACAAATGAATAGAAAGTCTTTCTCGGAGAATAGAAGAGGAGGGAACGAGATGTCTACGAACTATGACAAGCGTAACGATCGCGATCCAAAAATTAACCACCGAATTGCACCGGAATGGCGGCGTTCACCGCAAAAACTATGCCGATTTATCCTCGATTTCTAACCCGCCGTTCGCTAGTGGTTTTCCGAGTTTCTCGTTAGAATTCCGCAACCCGCCTCAACTATTACGTAACAAATTCTATCGAATAATATTTTTTCCAACTGATCGGTTCGCCGATTACGGATCAATGGTACGTGAAGTTGAATCGATGATATCCTTTCTAATACCAAATTAGTTACGATGTCGAATAAATGTACAAAAAATTACATTGATAAAAACTTGTTTACATAAACAATGAAATTGATAATAAACGAACGACGTTGTCCGGATCGTACAAGGTGACCGTTATATCACGAACGCGAAGAACGGTACCGTGAAATAGGTAATGAAATTCGCGCGACCAGACTAGTGGAATTCAGAAATTTGATTACCGTTGTAAACGGTCACGGTGACGCGTTCTAGGCGGTGTGACACCTTGGCCTTGAACAGTCAAGGAGGCAAGAGTGACACCCATGAGTCTGGAAGAACGCGTAGAAAGAATGGGACCTTGGTTTTGAAGTAGCGCGGAGGAAAAGTGACGGCACGACTTCCGAGGAATGCGTAGACCAAGTCTGAAAGCGACTTTGCAATCTTTGGGAATAATTAATCGCTGCTAAATACAAACTCGAGTGCACCAGTTGTCCATGTAACACGACGCGAATAAACAAGAAAATTTCGGAAAATTGTCGAAAGAAATCAGACCTGAATCGAGGATTCAGGAAAAAGAGAAGAAAAACCGATCTTTACTATCGATGCAGGATCTTTAAAAATGCTGCGATTTCTAAATTCCCTAACACGTCGCATTCTATTCGTGAGAAAAACAGATTTACGGATTAAAGAAGCAACTTAACCGTACAGGAATAAAGTGGATCCCCTTCTCCCATAAAGGGACTCGGTGCTACGAACCTGCTCGATCCTCTCTCGATGGCAGTGACCTGTTATGGGGGGTCTCTCACGGGTCCCAACGCTTTAATGCTCACGTGCGATGGCTCTCGGTTAAATGTCGGTCTTTGTACTTAGTTTCGATATTGTTCGCAGTTATGGGAGTTGCCCGCGTGAAAAATTTGCTGGGAAACTATGAACGTTCCGTTCGATCATGAGTCATTCCGTGCCACGTTTTTTCATTTTTACAAATCTTTTTATCATGCTGCAACCCGTAGTTCTTTTTTCTTTTAATTATATAGGTACATTGGCGTTTTCACGCTTCGATGAAAAAGTTGCTCTTCGAGATTCTTGCTATTTTGGAATCAAAAAGGAATGATCGTTAATTAATTTTTGTAATTCGAAATGAAAAATTATCCGCTTAAATGAGAATGAAAAGTATTCGCATGATTCTTTCTCGTCTAAGTAATCGAAGGAGCAAATAAATAGAGAAGTAAAGGCAGTTTGATACGCGACTCGAAGCTGATCGACGAAGGAATTCGAATGGCATTCGAGCTCGAACTTTGCTCGCGAACCGAGCGTCATTCAGCTCTGCTTTCGCATGAGTTTCATGCGTCGGCATTCTGCCATCAATAGACATGTGGATGTGCTGCAAGCCACGACCCGACCAGCTCTGCCTATCTAAAGGCACGGCTACGTGACGGAAAAGCGGATATTCCGTGTCGGAAGTTCCGTTGCTCTCGATGCGCGTACGAGAAAGAATTTTTCTAGTTTCTCCTACGACACTCGACTCACTTATCAATATACTTCGTCCCTCTTCGACATTATTCTTCTATTCCTAATACAATTTCGTTCGCTACACATCGAGTTCTAACTGGAAAATTCTGCAGTTTCGTTTAGAATGCAATTTCTCGACTGCGTCTTGAACGGTCACCAAGAATCCTCGGTCGAAGGTACTTGTCCACATGTTAATGACGCGTTAATTACCGATCGGTGTATCGAACGACACCCGTTAGATCGCTAAGGTAACAGCATTTTAAGTCGGTCACATTAGTAAAAGTGAACCGCTACGTAACTCCTCTCTTTTTCCTAACACTGGTGGCTTCCGTTATTCTAATCGACAATGGAGACATCGATGCATGTGCCAGACGTTTTCAGCGCGAAATTCAGTCTCCAGCTGTACAAATTACGTGTCACGGACAAGAAAGACTTATGAGGTAATTAAGGAAAAAAGAATGTTTTTAATGCAAATGAGAAATACGAATAGGTTATCGAAGCTTTCCATCGTTTACGGTACCGTAACATTCCCGATGAAGTTTCCATAAAACTATGATCGAAGTACATTACAATTGAAATTTTCAATGCCACGAGACATACTGCAAATACCTTTAGATTCGCCTACATTTACGATACATTTAAATAAAAGATATGGATTGCAGTGAACGTCCAGATAGTCTGTGACCTATAAAGGGCAACTCTCGCTGCTGCATTGGGTTTTACGGGTGCGCGGTTTCCGAAAGGTTGCCATTTGTCTGAGATTGTATGATAGATGAACATTGTTTAACTTGCATTTTATCAATTTAAGCGCGAACAAAATTGTTTTTCGAAGCATGTGAAATACCGGATGGTCAGATTCCCAGTATGAAATTTTTGCCAGTGGGCCATGGTCAGGACTCGATTAGTCACGCGATCCTTATTCCACGTTTTCTGGCTTCACGTGACGCGACTCCCCGGTTCTTCCTGTCTTCTCCTGTGTTCTCGCGACTAATTACACCTGAAAGCATCGTCCGGTTAGGTTGCCAGCCTGTTTTTGAAGCGACGGGAAGACGTAGAAATTGCAGGGATATCACGGCGGCCGCGCAGGAAATTCCAACCTGGATTCGTCATACAACGTTCAAAACATAATACTTGTTTTAGCTCGCTTAATATCGACAAAACGAGTTTCGAACAAAATATCGACATTCTAGGAGTGTTTTTTACAACCGTGGCCACAGGTTCTGCGTTCCGAACTTTCGAACGTTGAAAAACGAAAAGGGAGGCCCGTTCGAAGTGAACAGGTTCTCAAAAGACACGCTTGCATTCCGAGCAATCGAGATTGGGGCATTAGTATGTAAATAGTCGGATTCGGGTCCAGATTGACCGGATATTTATTTCGGAAGGTGGATCCTCCGTTGCTCGAAGGACAACCGCATGCTTCTACGAAACCGCTTAACCCGTCGTTGAAATCACCGGTTTCCCTCGGCATCGATATTATCGTTGTGTTCGTCTTCTGAACAAAAGTACTTTTTTTATAATGCTAACATTCTTTATTCTCTATACGATATCCCTCTCTCTTCGAGTGTGAACAATAGGAATAATAAAAAATTATGGCACGATCAGACAATTCTTCTATACATGTTTCAAGCGACCGAATTATGGTCCGATGTTTCGAAGGTTCCTGAAATCGAGGATCGAGTGGGTCAGTGGGTCGTTGTCACGTTAATTACGAGGAATCCAGAAGCTGCGTGTACATCGAACCCGTGCACGAGAATTCCTCTCTCATCTTTCTTTCATCGTCATTTGCAATACCGTGCACCGTGTAAGAAAGAAATTCTTATTGTTCTCCGAACGAACAGTAATTAATTAGAAATAAGTCATTTGAACGCAAGATCGGGAATTAGCGTGCGTCGAAATGTTTTCTTTCTCTTTAAAGATAAATTGTACAGAGAGACAAATAATAAATGAGCGATACCAGAACGGTGATGAACTTCTTACCGGGGAGCTCGAAGCCACAAAGAAATCGCACTTATACTTCCGGCAAAAGAGCAATACCGGTCTCGAGTTAGTCGGGGAAAGCTTTTAAAATACTTGGCAATCTTCTTTCTCTTTTTCCGGGTTAACGATGTCAGGACACTTGTCGTACATTTCCTTTTTCCGCGAACCGCTGTTTCGCTACTTTAATTTAACCGATATCGGTGCTCTTACATGGTCGTAGCTACCCGAGACTGCAAATTAGAGAATTTCTCGAGGGAACAGTGACTATCAATCTGCGATGGAAATGTTGCTCGTAAATTCTGTCAAAATTCTTCGCCCAAGATCGATCAATTTTTACCATTCTCGGTGCTTTAACGCTCTATCGGTTCCGAATATCGAACAGTACAAAACTTCTCGTTTATTCGACACGACAAACATGTTCTTAAACAATCTCTCTCGAAACCTCGATCCTCCTCGCATTCCGGAAATCCTTCGGCCATAGATCAATCGGCTGGCAAGCTCGTCGTCGATCTTAACTGCTTTCTACGACAACACCGTGCCAACTCTTCGAAAGTTCCATGCAAACAGACCTCGGGCTATGGGAAACGCGCGTAAAAATCCATGAATCTTTCGCGTCTGTTACCTCAACACGTCGAGTATAGACTGCCTGTACTTTCCTTCTTGTGTCATCTTTGCCTTTTTCTTACTTAGTATCCAGCGACCGCTTCTCAGCCTCTGCAAGGATTATCGAGTCGTGAAAGTTTGTTAAACACGGAAAAATAAGGGTGGTGTTCGATGCAATAGACATTCTTCGGGAGAGATTACTTCCATCAAGTGTTACGTGAATGTTTAATTATCGGTGAAACGAACATGAAGGATTAATTAATACTATTTGGTTGACGATCGAAAGCGTGATCGGGAAATCTGAAGATACTTCTGTCAATGAACGCAATTGCGTCAGGTATCTTTGATCTCTCTATGAATTCCTGACGTATCGAAGTCTGTCAAATAGAAATTACTCTTCGCGTCGAATAATTTCGTAAGTCTTTTTTCGACTTAATGAGTATATGATGTTGACCAAGACATCGCGAGTTGCGCAACCGTTCAAATCGAAGGTTCGCGTCGACGGTCGCGCGAAATGGGGAACGCGGTGAATTCCATCGCTGGAATTGAGTCGTCAGGTGTCATTTAACGGCCACCACGATTGCGCAAACCCGTTTCTTTTGTCACGACCGCTTTTATTCTCCAGTACCGGTACATTGTTCCAAGTTTTCGAAGAATTCGAACGAGATAATCGGAACCGCGTAGAAAATGAATTTGTAACCTTCGTCGAGAGATCGGTAACTTCTGCAAAGTTCAAACATTGATCCCTAAATCTTTCCACGAAAGATAAATCGTTCTAACGAGAAACTGTTTCGTTAAATATTTATGAACACAATAATTTATGGTTGGCGAATTCAATTAGAACGTGTACTGTTTCCACGAACAGTTCACGTCGAGCTGCAACCGTTCGTCGATCTTTATCCTCCGTTGTTTCGTTAACGAATTAGAAACTTAGTTAGCGTTTAATCGTTGCGCTTTCAAAAGTCCATTTCTCGTACGTTCGTAAACATTGTTACACCGTTTAGCTTATTTGCCACGTTTATAGGGCCGAATCCGTCTATCGTTAGGATTTCAGAAACGCTCGTACCACTTTCTTTTCTCGCGGTAGCTCAGATCTAATCGGTTTCCGATTAAAATTGTAAATGTGTCTCGGTAGGTGTTCGACTCGCTACCACGCTGCAACGTTTCAGAGTTTCTGGATAAATTTATGCGAGGTAATGTTGCCATACCAGAGCCGCGTCGCGTACAATGCGCTCGAGGCAAGTGTTCCAGTTCTGTTCCCGTGGTCCAACGATCAAATTTTTAATATCGTTAAATACTCGCGGTCCAGTTAATCCAGAAATGTCTTGCAACGGTCGCGTTCGAGAAACACGATCTCGACGGAGGCTCGAATACTCGCGAGAAACGATAGCAAAGTTCAATAGCAGTCGTGCTCGGAGCGGTAAGGATAGCTCGTTCGGTTGCATCATCCGCAGGAAAAACAGGCGCGGGTTATTAGCGTTCCTCGGTAAAATCGGCTGGGGAATGTGCATTTCCCTCGACACAATTCCGGACACCCCATCGCGAAGGGTTTCCGAGGCAGGTACGGGGACACGGCGAGTCAGGGAGTGCCGCTCGCGGCACAGAGGCAGACAAGCGGTCAGGCGAGAGAGAAGAAGAGAGAAAGAGCGAGAGAGAGAGGGGCCCGATGGGGTCGTAGTGGGGCCCAGTCGGTCGGAGTCTCACGCCTTCCGTCAGTCCTCAGTCCGGCGAGGAACGTGCAGGAGGTTACAGCCCGTTATTCCACTGTCTGTTGCTCGTTTCGTGCGGGTTCCATCGACAAATAGTCGTCCAAGTAGAAAGAAAAGGTGTTCTCGGTGTATCGACCGAACAGGAGTGCGGTAAAACCTCGAACAGGAAGAGAATCCATTGGTTCCCAGGTCTGGTTAGCAGGCAGAGGCGGTTGCAGCGCCATCTGTGCGACGGTGGGTCCGTAGACGGTGAAAAACGGGGAAAGATCGGGGAAAGATCGGGGAAGCGAGTCGACGGGAGAATATTTGGGCATGCAAATATCGGTATTTTCGTTCTTCCAGAGCCGATGAGGTGCGGAAGAACGTCGAAGACGGCGGTTCGCGTGGCTGACGCCTGCGGCCGCGCCTCTGGATTCCAGCAGCGGCGACACACCGCTCAACGGGCCCGTTGAATTCCAGCCAGTGTCCGTGAGCGATTCGCGTTTGTCGGTGTGCCGCGCTTACCTACTGTCCCGTCGATCGGTACACGTGGAGGTGAGGGGCGACCAAGAGGACGCAGACGCCACTGGTGTACACCGCATACCACGGCACGGGAGGACCTGGCCCGAAGGAACGAGAACGGTGGGGGGTTGGAAAAGGTTGGCGAGAGCTGGCCTCGTGGAAGAAAGAAACGAGAAGCCGAAGAGGCGATAGAAGGGAAGCCAGGTAGAGAGGACAGAGAGGAACGACTCGTACCTTGGTGGGGAAACCGTCAGAAGGCGGCCATAATGGCCTGACGCGATCTCGAGCGAGCGGCGGCTACAGCTGCTGCGAAATAGCCGAGAGCGGCTCTCCTCGTCGTCCACGCACGCGTATTTTGCAACCACGGACGGGCTGCGTCTTTGGAAAGTGACTGCGTAATCGCGAGTGCGGAGTGTGTTACCGGGTGGAGTCGTCGTTTCGTTCCGTGTGCACTGTACGGTCGCGCGTGTACTCGAATTACTCCGCGGGTTCGATGATTCGACGGTTCTGGATCGTCGCTAGTCTCCTCGCGATCGTGCATGCTCCGTTCGAGTAGCTCGTTTGATTTCTCGTCGAGTCCGAAGAGGAAAACCGGAGGCTAGGACCGACTCTGCCTGGACCAGTTCGATCGACCGAGCCGACCAGAAAAATGAGGGGTGCCAATCAAGATACGGCTACGCCGTACTGTCGGTGCAGAGTCCTCTATCTGGGCAGTTCCGTGCCTCACGCGAGCAAGGAGGGCTTGTTGGGCGTTCAAGAACCTCTTCGAGAACTGTATCCCGAACAGGGTGCACTGGGAGCACGTGGGATCGATTCTTGGCTGAGCGTCTGGAGCAACGGCTTGCTGCTGGAGAACGTGGACGAACATCGCAAGAAGGTCACCAGGTTTTTCCCGATCGAGGCGCTTCACTACTGCGCCGCCGTCAGGCACGTAAAAGGCGGAAGCGGAGATTCCTCGAACACGAGGTTTCTGCCTTTGGACTCCCCGTTCGCGAGGACGCCCAGCGCCAACCATCCGCCGCTTTTTGCTGCCGTGCTACGACGAACAACCGGCATCAAGGTTCTCGAATGTCACGCGTTTATATGCAAGCGCGATATGGCGGCCAACGCCCTGGTCAGGTGTTGTTTCCACGCGTACGCGGACAGCAGCTACGCCAAAGGACTCGATCCGAGCACGACCGCGACCACCACGACTACGACCAACGGAGTAACGTCCGGTCATCCATCCAACAACAGCCTCTATCACACTCTCGGTGGGTCCAGCACCACCTTGGACAGTCCACAGGCGACGCGGTTGGACGCCACCTCGACCGACGACCTCAGTCTTTACAACGGAGACGAGAATCACAAGGTTTGGGCCAGAGGTCGAGACGAAGTCGACGGATTGTATCAGGAACAAGGCACTCTACGAAGCACCAAAGGATCCAGGCCTCGTCAGCTGGTCGCTCCGCCACCTCCTCCGCCGCCGCCGCCTCCTCCGGCTCAGCCTTTGCTCCTAGAGGAGTCCTCCTCGTCATCCGTTCGTAGGAAGGCCAACAAGAAGTTGAAGAAGCTGAAAAATCGATCGACACACGAGGATACGTTGCAGCAGCCGCACCTGCACCCTCAAATGCATCAGGGAATGTACACGAACGGCTATGGCCATCACACCTTGGGTCACCCGGTCAGGCAACAACACTATCACCCGCATCCTTTACCACCTAGCAGTCGGTCGGTCGCTGGAACTCTGGCCAGACCAGCGCCGGTGCTTCTCGTCCCTGCTGCCACGTTACCTAGGAAGGCCCACCATCATCCCAGAGGGCTCAGACCGATCCCGGCAGCCGCTCCGATCGTCCCGGTTTACGCTCCTGTCCCGGTAGTGCCTCCGCCGCCAGCGGCAGCCATCTATCCGGCCGGAACCTACGGGACTGCCGGGAACAGGGGCAGAAGGCAACATCCGGAAGGCGATACCTCCACTCTAGGAGCGTCCAGGAGACTAGCGGCGTCTCACGCCGACCTTACCAGCGCCGAAATGAACCGAACGACCGACAGTCCCGAGAACGAATCCCGTTTCGGCACCGGGATCTATCGACGGAAGGGTCACTTGAACGAGAGAGCGTTTTCTTACAGCATCCGTGCCGAACATCGCAGCAGGAGCCACGGTAGCCTGGCCTCCTTGGGCTTCAGTGGACAGAACGGCAACGCGTTGCCCAAGGAGGAGAAGAAGGACAGAGAAATAGCTCAGTTGGTGGCTGGACTGAACCTGGACGACAGTCCCGAGAGGACGCAGCCTCCGATTAACCCCAGAAGCGGCTATTCCCATCATCAACATCAGCTCCAGCCAATACCCAGGCCGCGACCTCGTTAGGACTCGTCAGTTTCTTCCGTTGCCTCGCAAGTGCGTCGTCGTAACCTCGGAAGCGGATGTTGTTGGACCGTTTGTCGCGTGTTCCTCGGGTCAGTCGTTTGTATTTTCGAGGTTCTATCGACCTGTCGATCCGTTTCGGGTCTGGCTGCGGGATACCTTATCGCTCGACAAAAGTGAGTGATGACTTCGATCGAACACGAACGATCAGTTGCTCAGAGACTCGGGAAACCAGTTGACAGTGCGAACGACGTACAGATACGTTTGAGCTAGTTTCGTAAAGTCCATCGGGGAATTTTAAGTAGGGCACTTGTTCGACGGAAGAAGGAACTTCTTTCTCGTGGCGTTAGCGTGGAAAATCGTGATGGGTGGCCTGGCTCGGACAGCCTCCGACTGGTTCAGGTGGCTTTCGATTCTCGGAACAACCTTGCCCGAGTAGGAAAATTACGGTCTGGGAAAAAAGCCGATGGCACCCGGCCTCATCTTCGTCCCCGGTTTCTACCTGTGACCTTCTTCGTCTTATCTCGAAAGTCGATCGTCTTTGTCGAATGAAGGACTTCGATCGTTGCACCTTAACGGTTCGACCGTAACATCGCAGGGAACCCTATAAAAATTCATTTCGAGGCGAGAACCGATTCTTTGTCGGAATATTTCGAGAGAAAGTGGCTCGTGCTCGTTTTCGTTCGAGTATCAGAAATTCTTTGGGTAGCCTCGGCATTTCCCTGTCTTGGACTGTAGTGCACTCGAGTTGTCGGCAAAAAATTGTATTTCGTACGCGAGATGTTTGGACAGTTGTTGGCGGAAGAGGTTGCGAAAAGCGACCGTTCTGTTATAAAAACGAGCCAGTTAATTAGATGAGCTAGAATTATTGTCGCCCGATAGAAAAGATTGTTCTAGTGGCTGGAGCTCGTTAGTCAACGAAACTGTGCTCGTCCACGCTACCTCGTAATATTTCCTCTGAGAAAACGAGTTGGTAGCTTCGCCAGAGACCCATCGTTTCGTGGAAACTAGACTCCGGTGGATCCAATTACAGTAAAGGGGTAATTTTAAAAACCATCGGCGAAATCACGTGCATAATTTGATTTGTAAAATATGGACGAAACATCGGGCAAGGGACATTCGAAACAGTTCGAGGATTATTTCTTTGAAAAGTATTATCGTTTCTTCTTTTCTCCGCCATTTCGTGACGTTAACGTTCCATGTTTTTATGGACTATCGAACAATCGTATCAGCAATTTTCCTCTAGGAAAGGTAATGCAACGATTTAAATTCCCGCCGCATGAATTTCGTGTCGGCTCTCTCGTGGGAACGTGAACGTTAATCTTAATTGCGTGAGAAAAAATTATACACACAGTGAAGCGAAAAGGAACGAGGGTTTCGAGATGCTCGGTTATAAAACTAAAACCTGCTGGTTCGCATTCTTTTTTCCTTCGTTTGCGAAAGAAAGTAGGAACTAAAGGTTTTCCCATAAACGAATTACATTAACGTTTACTTTACGAGAATTAATTAATTTTCAATCTTACATTTCATTTTGTAACATTTACTGTACATTTGAGATTTTCTTTAAACAAAATTTTTGAACTGTATCGATTGTGCTGCTTGCGGGTAAAAATGTCGCCCCTGTTTCGTAACAAGTTTCTCCGTTCTCGTAACACCGCAAGAAACAGAAATGTTTCAAGATAGTCCGAGTGCAATGGACCGAATTACGGTATCGACTGCATAATCGCTTCGGTTAGATTTTTCCACGGAGAACACTTCGACCCACGTGTTCTCCCAGCTCCTTTTATTTCTCTGCACAACTTTACGTTTTTAACATTCCAAAAATAATTCTCCAACAGTTTCGATTCAAGATCATCACCGTACGAATACGATACGAGCCATCCAAAATCGTTTCCACGCCTAACTCGTGAGTTCTCTTCTTCCTGTATAAGATATTCTTATTCGCGAGTATAGTGCCTTCGTTTCGTGTGTTTTTGGTCCCACAACTGTGAGGAACAGCGCCTAAGAGCGCATCCCCTGAATGATCCAGCATGGGAATCAGTGCCAAACGCCGTAAAACGTCCGACTTTGCGAACTGTATCGACTTTTTGCCCTTCTCGATCGATTCCTTCGATCCTTTCGCCACGGCGAATTCAGCAGAAACTCCTTGGACCCGGTTTATTCGCGTCCGAAACGAGTTTAACGTGGATGACAAGCGGGTTCTCGCGAATTCGTCTTGTCTCTTGGATTATCAGGCCGGAACGAGAGGTCTGCTCGCGTGTTTCTTGCGCTTGACACAAGTTAAATTAACCCTTCGCAGTCCGCGGTTATAAAACGCTTGAAATTATTCCTTAACCTGGCCATTATTCTCGATGGAACAAGTTACCAGAATTTCTACTACGTTTATTTCAACAGGTTAGACTGGGTCTGCACGAAACACCGAGAAGACCTAACTAGATGTTTAAGTTAGGTCTTAGGTAGTCTGAATTTTTGCTCAAGAAAAAACTTTGATCATTTCTTTTCGCTGCAAGGGATCGAAGCAATAATAAGCAGTTTCCGATTCTCGTTCCGGGGCTAATATTTTTATGGACGAAATAAATATCGATAAGCTTTTAACCAAAAGTGTTAACATTATTTTATAACGAAAGGTTTGAATGAAACTTCGAAAAGGAACTCGACGCCTCGCTTTTCGTTAAAGCATTATTCATTAGCGTGGTGTCGATTGAAGGAGAGAACAGGCTTGTCAAAAAGTCATCGAGTTCCAAATCGGACAGGAGGTGCAACTGGAACTTATTTATTTAATCGCATGTGCCAGATGATCGTAGAAAAATCAGCTCGACGATACTTGTTTTATTTTAACCCTTTAACCGAGCAGAAATTCGTGTCGAATATTTGCAGAGTAAAGCTCGTATTACCAAAAAATAATCATCGATTATCAAAAGTATGGATAATTTTCAAGTATAAACTTCCAACCTGTCTACAACGAGACGTTTTGCTCTGCGAATAATTCCGCGTTATAGTTAAAGGGTTGCGAATTCGTTAAGGACCGGTAGTAATTACAGTTTCTTAGGATTTCTCGCGGTACAATCGCTATTGTATGAAATCAACTATTCGCCGTGACGAGTGAAATAATTGAATTCTGTGTGCGGAAAAATGTCAGACAAGGCTCTCCGAGCGAAGAATATTGTGCAAACTCAATTACGAAGCGCGAACGATTATTTATTTTATCGTGGTCCGCGCGCTCGTCTCGCGAACCTGTACTCGCATGAATAGACCGCGGATGTTTATGCAATTATAAGCCATTAAAATATGCAAAATATATGCGACAATGCGATGAATCATTCGTACAGCGTGGTGGATGTACACAGAAAATGAGCGAGTGTGTGTGACTCGGGGCACAGAAAAGAAGTCTTAACTGTTCTGACCCCGTTTCTCAAAAGAAATGTAATTTATCTACGTAGTGTCTCATGGTCACGAAGAAAATATTCAACCTGAATTTTGAACTCGATCGGTAGAGGTAGAACAGTTAAGAATTGTGGCTATTTTATGGGCATGTAAAATAAAATATAGGTACGTTTGGAAAATTCAATGACAAGGGAAGTGTCTAGACCTAATCTTTGAACCATTTGCATAAACGTCTGCGGTCTAATCACGGAAAATAATGTATTTACCGCACAAAGAACCCGATGGAATCTCCTGTTCGTGTTTCCCGACGTTTCATTTCGCTCGAAATCGCGCGAGCTCCTCTCGTGACACGCTTACGTGTAACCGCGTCCTCTTACGTAACTTAGCTTCTAAAGATCACCGACTCGAGCGTGTTGAATGCTGGTGCCTGGTACAATGTTGACAAAATACTTGGCAACTCTTTATAACTATCATTTTTCCTCAACTTCAAAGATTCGCTGAAATCGACGTTTAATATATTTGATCGGTGCCTGTAACGATAGGTAATCGAGTGAGCGAAGCGATTAGAAGAGGGTTACCAGCGTTGCAAAATACGAGAGACAGTGGGAAAGAATTGTCGGAGCTGAAACGTGATCGGAGATCCATCCTATCCTCTTGAATTACTTGTGAACATGTTATGTATATTGTTACGTGTCGATTGCCATTGCAGAATTAATTAATAATAAACTAACAATGCAACTAAAACCAAACGCTTGGTTGCTGTTGTTCGTCCTTGTCGGTCAGTGCTTTTGTGACCAATGCTATCCATCAAAAAGGACGATCCTTTTTTCCAACACACTTAAATTTTAGCTAATCCAAATATCATAATAAAGCGGAAGTAGACATTAATCACGAAATCTACAAGGTTACGCCGTGATTTGAACAATGAAAGGGAATAAAAATAAAAGAACTGTGATTGCCTCGAGTTACAAACGCGTAATCGTCGATCTTCGTGGCACATCTGCATCCTATTGACGTAATGCGAAAATTCCGTCGCGATGGCGATGCCTCTTTCTATACCTTTGAATTTTTACCTATGTACCTATTAATTTTTACCTATAACAATTTTTTGTTATAAAAGAAAACGTAATTACGTTCGTTAAAGATGCTATAAACGATGCATTACGTAAGGTAACACTTGAAGAATCGTTATCGTCGAATTATAGCACCGTCTACAATTCTAGTGGCGTCGCAAAGAATTTCGAACCATTACATAAACCTTTGCGCCACTGTTAGTTTCGAAAATTATTTCAGATTCCACTCGTGCGTATTTCAAAACATTTATCAGATATTCGGTGAGAAAATTGTTCGTATATTGGAAAATTATCGCATGCACAGGAACAAGCTGTGTAACAGTATTAAAACAATAGACGCACGAGCGGTACCGTTGCAAATTACAATTTGCAAGCAAGAGTTACGAACCACCGTGAATAATCCATAAATTTTAATACGGGATTATGGCGGATCGAGAGATTTCTTATAGCCATTACGATGCTAATGAGATCCAACTCAACGAGATGGAAAAGAATATTTGAGTCGAGGAATTTCTAAATTCTGCGTGCTTCGTATAACGCGTAACGATCTAATACCTGGTCATGTAACGAGTGGCAACCCGAGGCTACCTTCTCTCGAACAAAGATCCTAGTTACGTCAATGATCGGTGGTATCCGTTTATGGTTATTTTTATCGCGAAGACGATCGTCGATCGGAATGCGTTGAACAGTAATTACACTTTGATTATAAAACTTTATTGCTCGAAGAAAAACGCGTTTGATTATCCGCGCTATCTTGCTACGGGAACACCAAAATGCCAGTGCACTACAGTTAGAACGTAAAACGACAAATTTACAGTTACACGCACACGCGCATACAGATGCACCCGTTTCGGAATTAAGGTCAACGACAATATGGCCTCCGATCAAGCGAAATTTCATACACAATTATCGGTCGATATTCAATTTATTGAAATTTATGTTCGCGAAACGGTACTCTATAATCGGTAACCTCGATCTTATCGCAGTTAAAAAGGGAAAATCTTTGTCTTCTCGGTACCGCGATCAAAATCTCGTCTGCAGAATTTCTGAACGAAAATACCTACGGTTCGACGGAAAGAATGGACGGTTTTCAAAACGGGTGACCCAGAATCCATTTATAGTTCGTTCCACTTTTGTCCAGAGAAAAAATAACTGGAGGACAATTACGCAAAAAAGGAAGCGAACAAGCAGAATTAACGATCCTCGTGCTTGTCTCCGCGGAGATTAACGAAGGTCTCGCGTGCTCTGGAAAAGATAATAGTAACATTGATTATTTCGCTCGACAATGTCTCACGATCTTGGACGAACATAATTTCTCTCGTTAACGCATTCCTGGTTGCGTAAACCTAGACTTTTGTCACAGAAGTTCAATGTTACGACCAAAAATCACGGTGCAATATTTGAAAAACAAACGGAAACGAAGGCTGTAATTACTTATTATGTAATGGTTGGGAAAAGTTTACGAGGGCGACAGCTGCGAAAGCGACTCGATTAGAAGCTCGGGAACCGTGATTACTTCCGGTTCGAAGACGTATCCGCCAACTGTCGCTGTTGTAATATCGTCGGAGGTACTCTTTAAAGTAACTGGAAACGATTGACAAATCGCCCACGCGTTTCGATCACGATTGTTCGTACGAAAATTTCTTCGCGATTGCTATACCGTGTAACAAAGGAAGACTTTATAAGAAATTAAGAAATATCGAGTGAACGAGCAATGTCGAGTAACGGATTAACAAATAACGGATGGACGGAGAACGATCAACGATCGAGGGATCCCACGAGACGTTTGGTAGTCGTCTACGCTTAGAACTGCTCGGGCGGACAGCGGAAGGGGGAACAAGGAGAAGGACGAAGAAGAATGGCGAAAGGAGAAAAGGAGTGGAACAGAGAGGACAGCTGCATCGTTGGAATAACAGTACTCTCACATTGGTGAGCGCCGTCGAAGCAGGGTACCGTTATCGGTTACAGCGTTACCACGCCGTCGAGGACCAACCATGGAAACCAGAGAATCCAGAAGATTGTGCTCCACAGCATCTCCACCGATGCTTTCCTCCTCTTCCTCCCGTTCTCCTTGTTCCCTGATTTCTTGCACGTACGTCCTTTCTCGATCAACGACTAAAAATGTTGGTCACCGAATACGCTGACCTCCGAATCACTCTATATACAGTCATTTCAGTTGATCTTGTTTTTTTTAGCTTTTACATTTATTCCGGTTGAGACAGGATATCCTTGATTCGGGGCATCCGCTAGGATAACTGGGTTAAACAAATCAACTTTTCATTTATTTTTAATCCTTGATCGAGTACCCGAGAAATTTTTCGGCACTTTTGACTTAAGAGCTTCGATTCAAAAGAATTAGAAAACTAGAATGAAAGAAGACATAGAAGACGCGAATAAAAAGTCTGAAATTTTCATGATGAGAAAATTCCTGAGCAATTGTTGCTCGACGGAAAACATTCTTGTAACGCAGGACAATAGAGAGGAGTTTCTCCCGTAACTCTTTTTCGATGCAAATATTTCGAGCACGTATTATAATGATAATGAGAGGTCTTTCGTTCTCCGATTCCCTGATAATTCCACCTTTTCATACGGGAAATGATTGCACATTAAAACGCGGTAATTAGCGTAATATACGTAACTAGTTTTCGACCTACTTTCCTGCCACTAAACTTCTGTGGATTACCAAAGTGCAGGACTTCGAATGGACTGTTATTATTACGAAAGCATTGTTCGCAATCTCTTAAACAGTAACATTAACGTGATCACTGTAAAATGCATAATCAAAGAGTGTGATGCGCGGTGTATTGCTAAATAATTATGGCGCGGATTTAGGTCATGTTGCATATCCTCGCATTTTCTTAGGTACTCTATGTCCCAAGTTTCCAGGGACGTAAGGTGAACGCTATAAATATCAAAGATACTTACGTGTCACTCGGCTCGAAATTTCCGCTCGACAGAAAATCCGCGTCCAGACGTTCACCCTTCCTGAGAGTAACCAAAGAGAAGCGCCTCTCCGTCCATCTTCATCTTCCTCCCTCTCCTCTTCCTCCTCGTTCCAGCGTGGAGGAGCCGACTCACCGGCTAGAGAACTCGAGTCTCTCCTGCGGAACATCCCCGGCAGTTTCACGTCGACGGTCATCCGGATCGACTCGCGGCCAAGGTCGGTTCTCCGACGTTTACCTTCGTACGCTGATTTTCGAGCAGTTCGCAACGGTGAAATCGCGACAAGGATCGAAACGAGCGATCTTTACGATCATTAGCGACATCCATGCTGGATCGGGAGGGTTCAAGAGCCGATGTGGTGCGATTTGTACGATGAAACGCAAGATGGTGATGTGCGAGTGTTTGTCAAGGTTGAATCGAGGTGTTTCGCGAAAGTTCAATCGGGGAAACTAAGAATTTTCTGCGCTGGAATCGACCATGAGAAAGTAAGTGGTGTTAAATGAGTCTCCGAAAAATTACCAAATACCATTGGATTACTGTTTTGATCTTGGTGGATAATCGTGTTGAGTTTGTGCCGACGAAGATCGATAATAGCGGTGTATCTTTTTCGCGTAGGGTTAGCTTCGTCGAATTCATATGTTAAGTATTCATCGTTCCGCAATGTAGGTTTCTCGACCACAAAGAAACTCGAGAAAAGTGTTTCGCTCCGTAATTCCATCGATCTTGAATCTCTACCGACTTCAACCCGAAAGCAAACTTTTAATTTATGGACCATGATGCTCCTAATGGTTTCATGCGCTGTTTATTAATCACTACTCTTCAAGATTTTCCTGTTCTTTCTCAATTTAATTTTAATATCACATCGAGTATGCAGGAATGTTTCATTTATCTTCACCACGTCGGTTTAGTTTTGAGAGTCAAGGAGCGCCAAGAGATTCGTGTTTAGTCACTTCCGTTTGTCTACTCGATTTCCATTAGGACGAACGCGAACAGTAAACGAACCGAGAACTTGGTAATTGTAGGTTGAACGATCTACGTTTAAAACAGACCACGTATACATGTGTGTACTGTTTCTCCACGCGATTCGCCGACACGTGATGCTGTAATGTGTCGACCTCGATATCGTCACCTTCAATCGTACAAACTTTCGTCTAAGACTTTAATTATTCGATCGATCGAAAACTGTACGTTGCATAAACGGACACTTTACCGGACAAAAATTGCACGATCGAATTGGATTAAACTCGATACGTTTTACTTGTCTTTCAAAATCAATTCCGTTATAGTTAATCGAAAAAGCAACCTCCTCGATAATCGACGAACGAACACGTGAGCGAGCGATCCGCTTTATATGAAAGTAACACGCTCACAATCTTATGGACAGTTATTCTTCGAGTAATGGACGCGCATCGAGCCAGAAGATCGACGCTTTCAGAAAAATCCGTACAGCATCGAGGAGCATGCGAGACCATGTAACTGTAAAAACATCTCCGCTCATCTTGAAACGGAATTTGATCAGAAATTAAACGGTCGGTCAACGATGGCGCCAATGATCTTGCCGATCCAAAGTTGCCAATACCCGTGCACCAAAGGAATTTTAAAAACAACTTTCATCGACTCAACCACATAATCAAAACATCTAAATAAACATTATTTTTTATATAAATCACTAAAATGCAAGTCAAGATCGCTATCTCGTGAAAAAAAAATAACTTTCCCTCTTCAAGTTCGAATTACTTTTTCTCGGGTGCATTAAACACCGCCATAGTGGTTAAACGCGGTAAGTATCCAGGGTGAAAACATTTTCCATCTTACCAGCAATTTAATGTTTTCCATTTAAGAAACTCCGGCCAGGAGTCCGGTGAAAATCGAGCAGCACGCGATAATTCATCACGAGCGAGTATCGAGTCTCGTGTATCTGCGATTTCTATCTGGTAAGAGGGTAAACATGGAGATCAACGCGAATAATAGATGTACAAATATTGGCGATATTGCATCGTCCCTGTATGTATACGTATCGATCTTCTTCGAGAAGTTAAGATGTATTAAATGTGTGTTTTTTTCGATTCCCAAGTTTATGCGAAAATGATAACCGTATACGTTGCATGGTAACGGTCACTGTATTCTACGCTAGTTTCACGAATTCGTAATGCCGTTTAAAAATGTTAGACTTCTGAGGTGGATCTGGTATCTGGGTTTGGCGTAAAAGGAACGATACGTTGATCTAAGATAGTCGCAAGAATGTTTCTTCCATTAATATCCTTGAAGTATCACGACGATCCCGTCACTTTTACTCGGGATCGACGTTTAGCGTTCGATCAAAAATTCCTCCATCGATCTCGTCTGTAATTATAGTTTTAATTAGCGGCCGTCTACTGCCAGTCCTCGCATAAATTTAACGCAGGCTGGAGAGCAGCTGCAGGGGTCCGTGGAAACGAGGTGAGATCCTGGCGAGATCCTTCGCTTCGATTTTTTCAACAGCGCGTGTCTTTGTACGTATCGTAATTTTTTCTTTGCCAGGCAGATTCGTCTCATTAAACACGCGAGAGCTTAACACTGACCCTATTTTTTATGTATCCACTTCGTAATACAACCTTCTCTAACAGCATGCACCAGAAAACTTACAGATTGTCACGTTTGTTGCAGAACTAATGACGTTTATCGATAGCAGCGCAAAGGGAAAAGCTCCAGGAGCTTGCGAGATCCGTGGATCGTGTAAATAAGACTGGTATAAAATGTCGTGTGTAGGGATGTCCTGCTACGAGGATGGCTTCCGATTGGCTGGTCCTGCGTCGGAATGCTCCCTCAGGAGCAAAGCTCGCATCGATGCACTGTTCGAGGATTCCAGGTACGAATTTAGCTCGTTCCTTCCCTGTTCGCCCGGTATCGGAAAATTGATCGTGGAATTTTAGGTCGATTTACGACTCCACCATGGGAGGCTGGTACGGAGGAGTGTCGACCATGAATTCGAACCGACTCGAAGACACCAGCATGGAGGAGCAGAAGAGGGTGAACAGTGCCGTGCAAGCTCGAATCGAGGCGATGTTCGCTTCCGTGGAAGCTGAAAGCGGAACACCCGGAGAATGTGCCGCTGCCATTTTACCGGTAAGTGCATAAATTACCTTGTTTCCTAATTTTTATCAAATTACAAGTATTTGTAGAACTTCATTATTAGAAGTGCGTTGACCGCAGATAATTGAAGCGAGTTCTAGCTAATTAAAAGAATTAATACGATCGAAAGATAGGGGTTTCTTCGTGACTACGCTTAGTTCGAACAAGAAGGAAACAATGTTTGCCACAAAATGGAAGTGGAAAAGCTTACTCATTCTTCGTGATTCGTAAGTTTGCTTCCCGCCACCACGAATCTGCACACAAAGATTTCACTACAATTAGATAAGATCACGGAGAACTAGACGATTTTCACTTATGTTAATTCGATCGTGCTCCTCGTCTCGTTCGTTCGGAAAATCTCGAGAAACGGACGTTCGTTCCATTCTCGAAACGAGTTTGCGTTTTGACGATTCACCTACTTGACGAATATCGTCTTCGATCGATACACAAAGTGGTACGTTTATTTCTTATCTCTCAGTACACGAGATTACTTCAGGGTGTTGCACGCGATCGATCCAAATTTTAGAAACTTATTCTAACAGATATAAAATATAGATCGCCGAATAATTTGTCGTGAACTAATTGCTCGTTCCAAAAAGATCGTAGGAGATTTAAGCTACTTTTAGAAATAACGAGGACTCGAAAATATTAGAAACTACGCTCGAAATAGTTGTATTCTATTATTCTCGTATGTAAATCCATTAACTTACACGAATCGCGCGATCGCATAATCTGAAAATTATGGGGTAATTAATTGCATGAAGGTCATTTTCAATTAAATATTCTTTTTTTTTCTGATTCAAGCGAGTTATCGTTGAATGAGAGTAGAACGAATGTGCCAGCAGAGAATAAGAGCCTCGTAACACTTAATACTGCGGACTACTAATTATGCGACACGGTCGAGTGCAATTTTCATCCAGGAATAAGAGGATATTATTCCAGATAATTTTTCATATTGTACGATTTTTATTGCATATATTGAAATTTGAAAGGAACAATCAGATCGATTTTTCAGGACAATAAGATCGACTTTCCTCGAACGGGCATCGTTCTGGCATTGTTAATCGTCACTTTCATTCTGTTCACGATTCACAGAGCGTGACGGGGCGACTATTTGGAGCACTGAAAAATTCTCCTTCGTTGCTGCATCGGTATGCGGATTTTTCTTATTGCCCCCTTTTTTATGAGTCGCTTCTTCCGCGTCGTTTCGTTACGCCATCGATGATACTCTTCCGGCTGCGATCAATAACAGCTTGGATCCTTGACATCCGTAAAATGACGCTGAAAGTCGTGCGAAACGTGACCGAATCAACAATTCGAAATGCTCGATCTTAAATTATTGCGTGCATACCGCTTGTATCTTTCAACACACGAATTTACAAGATTCAATAACTTTTCATTCTGCTATATTTAATTCACTCAGCGGCAATTTGATCCGCATCGATAATTTGGACCGTCAAGATAGTCGATGAAAATTCTTGATAAGAGCGTACCATCGATTAGTCTGCATAAATCTACACCGCATTTGCTTCTTAATGAACTTTCATTATCGCCTTTTATGGAGCACATACCACGATTCAGTGTATTTTTAATAGAGCGATTATTTTTCCCTTATATCGTACTCCGACATGCCATGAGCAGGCGTCGAAAATCCTTACTCGCTGAATCCTCGAACGATGGGTCGATTACCTGTTACAGGTGAAGTACATGGGTGCAGCTCCGGTGGGTGGTCGCGTGGCCAGCGTTCGAGGTCTCCAAGAGCCGCTTCGTCAACTGCTGGAGCGGATCGAATACTCTGTGAGAGCCGAGCTGGAAGTGTCCAGACGCGGACTAACTTTCCGTACGACAGACACCTGCGAGAAGAACAACCCCTTTCGTAGAATCGCCGTGTGGAGTGCGTTGAAGCTTCGCGCTAAACGAACACCATCGGGCGATTTGCATCACGCTTTCTTGCCGTTGGTCGGCGATCACGATCAGATCCAAGCTGCCGAAGAGAGGCACGCGAATCTGTACAGGTGAGTATCGCGAAGAAAGCGGCGAGGAGTTAATGACCCTACATTCAGATCGAGAAAATGTTCGGTTTTTCTTGAACGTTAGACTAGGCCATCTCCATATGTTGATAGGGCAATCGAGTTTTAGTGAGTCACGAAAATTTCATCATTTATAGAACGATGCGTGGTCTGAAGACCAGCGCCGATCATTATCCGCCCATATTCGCGGTAGTGATGCGCCGTCCAGGAGCGACCAGGCTACTAGAATGTCACGCGTTCGCCTGCGAAACTGAAGAAGACGCTGTGGCGGCTGCTGCGACGCTCTACAGGGCTCTCCTCGCAGATTTGGACGCCAATCGACGTCGGCCAAGACACGCGAACGGCGTGGGCTGCGTTAGTTTGGCGTCAGTCGCGTCCAGCATTCGCGAGCCTAGTCCTAGTAGCAGAATCAGTGCCAGGATAATCGCCCTTCAGTCGGAAGCGGCTCGATCTACGCCTTCTCATCCGATAAGACCTCCGAGGACCAAGAAGAGTTCGGTGTGTAGCTCCGTTACGGAGGAGGAGAGCGGGAAATCGGCGGAGTTGCTGAAGGCTCCACGAAGGAAGAAGAAAAACTCTGACGTCAAGGCGGAAGATATTTTAGAAGCTAGAGAGAGAAGGCGAGATCCTAAGGGCACAGTGAGCCCAGCGGTGCAGAACTTGAATTGCGCTCAAAAGGGCTTGAATTCGAAGGTGTCCAAGGAAGAAGAACGACAGAACTCGAAGAACAGGATGTATGGAAGCATGAAGGAGTTAAGTATTCCGGAAAAGGTTGAAGTGGAACGTTCCCATAGCGAGGCGGACAAGCTTTATGACCTGGACATTAATGCCCTTTACGAAAGAGTCTCGAACAGGTACGAGAAGCTTCCCGTTGCCAAGAGGATAGAAAAGAACGACAACCCGAGGACACAGAGTCCTGCTAAGGAGGCGGAAAAAATCAAAGAAAAGGTCTACGAGAAGCCACAGAACTCGTACGACACTAATCCTTCCCGAAACGACATGAAAAGGCAGGAAGCTACGATCTACGATAAAATCGAGAAGCTAGGTTGCAAGAGCGAAGAAAACCCGTTGTACGAGCGCACTGATAAACGCGGTAGCAAAGAGAAACTCTACGAGGACCACTTCAAAGATGCCGACAAGATTTACACTCTCTCCCAAGAAGAACTTTGCAGCGGCAACAAGTTCAATCGGGCCAAGATAAAAAACACCCAAGAGAACATTTTCTTCGGTAGATCTTCGAGAAACGACAGTTATCCGGTTCAAGAGAATTCGGTTCCTGTGGATCGTAGGAAGTCGAGGGATCAGGAGAAACCAACGTCCGGAAGACGACTGAGCAGAGTGGTCACGATGGACAAACCCTTGAAGAAGCAGCTGAGCGAGTCCACGTCCAATTTGAACCTTGTCGAATACAATCAGCCGAGAGTTAGGAAGAGGAGCAGAGCCGGTAGCGAACCACCGGTTAGTCGATCCGAAGACGCGATGAAAATCCTCCAGGAGAGTAGATTGAAAAGATCTCAGAGCGACATAGACGTGGATCGAGGAGACTTGATGACCAGGGTCGAATTACCTCGAAGAGGAAGTTTCTTAAATCCTGGGAGTGCCAGGAGACCCAATAGCCTCAAGGGTGGCACTCCACTGGGATTCACCGAGTTATTCGACGAATTTAGAAACCAGGAAGGCTTGACCAGCGTCGACGACATTTTGGCAGCTATTATCGGTAAGTACTATCTGACAGGATGCTAAAAATAATCTCACTTTTATCTCGAAAGTGATCGTAACATCGCTATGGTCTGTCCAGATCCTGAAGGGATGTCCTTCAACGACTTGAAGCCCTTGTACAAAGAGTTCTTATTGAAGCTGGCGGCAACTCTGACGCAAGACGAGCTTTATCAGAGATCGGCCAGCATAATGAGAAGACGTCGAAGGCCGCAACGAAGACGATCCAGCCGCCCATCTTGTCTACTCGGCAGAGCCATTAAGCGATCGGTGTCGAGATTAAAAGGCGGACCCACGGAGTTCACTTCCGTGATCTTCCCCGCAAGAAGACTGAACGATAGCTTCGGCAGCAGCTCTTCTTGCGACGCGAGAAACAATCACAGAAATCGAGTGCTGGCTAACAGATTGGGAAAAAGGAGGTCCTCCTGGAGAATGAGCAAGGGCAGAGGTTGCCACACCACTTCGGAGGATAGCGATACGTGTAAGCAAACGTTTCAGTCATCCGAAACATCTGCAAATAGGAAAATAACATATTCGAACCGAACACCGACCCGTTTCTAGCGAACCTGTTCCTGACTCGAACAAAAAACTAACTGCATTTTCTTTATTTTGTACAGGCAGACGATTGAGTCGAGGTGCAGGAGCAGCCGCGAACCGAAGCAGCAGCGGTTACGTGAGTTGCAGCGAGTGCAGTTACGATTCCGAGTCCTGTACCTGTGTCTCGGCAGATAAGTGTTATTGCTCGCTATCCAGGAGGATCCCAGAGCAGCCACAGGTGTCCCCCAATGCCGTGGTCTGCTCGTGCGACACGGACAGCTGCTCGGAGAGCAACAAATGTTACTGTGCGCGGCAACCGATTCGTCCGACGATACTCGAACAGCTGAGGCAAAGGGGCATCGTGCCCTCCGAAAGCACTCTCAGCAGAGGGGGAAGTCCGGATAGATTTCGAGCGACGAAAACGAATAGAAGTCGAACACCTTCTCAAGGTTTGGATGTACTCAAGGTAACTTTGAATTATGATAAGAGTTTTATACTCTTGCGAACACAGACAGTAACGACCAGAATATTAACATAAGAAACGAAAGTTTGCCACGTCCGTTTGCTTCCAGAAGCAGTCGTCGTCAAGCTACGGCAGTTCGAACAACCTCGCCCTGGATTACGACCTCTTTAATCCGGGAAGGAAGTCTCAGCAATCGTCAGACAGTGAAAAGATACTAGTCGTTAGCGCCAGAGACACCCAGGGACGTTTGGTATACGTTGGTGGCGCAGAGAGGGACAAGAAATGTCTGTCTCATTGTTCCAGCAGATCTGGGGCGCATCACGAAGCACTCTCGATTAAGAAGAGCGCGGAAATAGCTGCTGTTTTTGGGGCTGATTCGAGCAGGATCAGCAGACGAGCCAGCAACGCATCCAGTATCAGGAGTTCCATCAGCTTGGAAGCTGGTCTAGGATATTTACCCTAATAAGAGAATTCTCCCTCTTAATACTTGTAGTAGAGCACTGACTAATATAGAGGTGTAAATATTGTAAGATACATTTAACTACGGATAAACTTAGAAATGAATAAATTAGACATTGGGATTTATGCGCAAAGTAAAGTCGGATAAAGAATTTTAATACTCGGTTATGCATCGAAGCTGACCTTGTTCATACGATCGATAGAAGATCGAGTATATTATATATACTGTATACGGGTATTAATTGATAACGGTACTGTTATCTACATGCTTCGCGGAAATATGTCAGAAGTGTACCGGTCTTTCTTGTAACGGTACAATATTCTCGTTTCTGCGAGACTTGATCTCAGCAAAAGTGGTTCTGAATCAGCCACGAGTTAAAATTTACTTATTACACTTGAAACGTTATGAAAAAGAACAGTAAATATCTATCGCGTTATTTTTGCATTGTGCATACGAATATCTTACAAGTACCTGTATTACCACTTGTAGGCTTCAGATATCTTTATTAGAATTAATTTATATGCAACGATTAAAGGCTAATGTGATCAATTTTTTTATGTATTTTTATACGTATATATATATTTTTATTACTTCTTTGTTGCTACATTGGACCTGATAATTTAATTTAATCGAGAATAATTTACTAAATTAAAGAACAGCGCAATATGGCGAATCACGCAAGAATCTCGATTTCTGTGAGGCATTGTTTTATTGTAACCTGTACATTATGACAACAAATTAATAAAATCATGTCAAATATAAATTGCACCAACATTTCGTCATGTACTATTAATAATGTGTTCATCCATTTGATGAAATTTTTTTGTATATTCCGCAGGAACCTCCAAGTCTTTCAAATTGTCGGCGCCAATTTCTTCTTCGGTTCTAAAAATACGAGAAGTAAAAGAGAGTTAAGTTATATAACGTTAAAATGTAGGAATAGCTGAAGTTGTCTCTATTACCTAATTAAAATATTTACAAGATTTTCGCAAACTGTTAAAGCATTTTCATTTTCTTCCCATTTATGATATTCTCTGAGAATTACGTAAGTATTTTTTTCTCTCAGTATTTCTCGGCCTTTCTTCGTTGCACAAAGTTGTGTTACTGCATCCAATAACATGATCCTAAAATATTTCCGAAATATAATCCGAAGCTTGAAAATCTCGATAATATTTGGATGAAACCGCGCTTTTTACCTAATATTTACATCCGGTTCCCGTTTCTTTGTTTCCGGTAAATATTGTAGGTTAATCGGTAACTTATCGTTATCTTCGTCGTCGAACTCTTCTGGCCCAGCCAATGGTAACAAAAGATATGCCAAAATATCTACTTCTGGACCTAATAGCCACTCATGATTTTCTAGATCAAAACAACAATTTTTCAATGTAGCCACAATACCGCTACGTCTTACTACACTGTCAGCATATTCTGTGAATGGAAGCAATCTTTGGATAACGCTACGGTCTCTATCCATTAAATATCTGTGGTTGTGAAGTACATTTGTAAAACAAGCAGTTCAAATAGTTGATATTAAGTACAAATTGAACATATAAATTCGTAATGCACCTTCTTACACTCTGAGATTGACTAAGATTACTAAAAACTGAGCCCAAGTGATGCAATTTAGCACCAGTATTATTGTACTGTTTAGCAGTGAATGCTGCAACAATACTATCCCATGTATATCTACTTTTTTCTATGAGGGCTATAACTCTTTCTACTAAATGTGATGGTCTAGTCATATTAGAAAGTATCATACAGCATGGATCTGCTAGAATGCTTTCTTTGTCCATTATAAACCTAGAGCGAATAACAATGAATTTATAAGTACCAGCAATATGTTACTGTTCATCAATGCATCTACCTGAGACAAATGTGTATTAAATTATAATTCGATTCTTCCTTTTGGAAATGTGTTTCTGAAATCAAGAGCAATGCATTTGCTCCAGTTTCATCTGCGGTTATATTCACTAATGCTAGTGCTGCATCCTTAGAAATTACAGTGGAAGAATCTTGAGTTAATGCAATTAGTTGAGTCAATAAATTTGGTAATTTTAATAACAGCGCTCGTCCTTCAGCACTTCCAGTTTCACCTGTAATTTTATGTACATGTCCGATAAGTTCAATAATAAAAATTTACACAATATTCACAGAGAGTATAGGTTAGAAAGCTCTTGTCAAGTGTAGAAACTTACTGAACACGTGTTTCAAGGCGATTGCTTTTAGATCTATTCGGGTATCTAAATTTAAAAATTGACATATTTCTTGGAGGGAATCCATCGTTTGAAAGTATTAATTTTAATAAGTTGAGGATACAATGCCTTATGTTTGCAAATTCTCTGAAAAATAAGGTGCCACTAGTGGCACCTAACGGTTGGAACCGGCATCTGATGGAGCTAAGGTTTAAAGACAAGTTTTGTATTATCGTAATTTTTAGACTATAAAACACTTATAAAACGTTCGGAAGTCATTTAATGTTGCCACTTGAAACATTATGTTGCTTAGTAAATTGAAAAGCCTAATAATTTTTAAGGAATCATATTTTAAATTTAGTTGAAGTTTTGACTTAATTTGAACCGTGTGCAGTTTTGATAAATTACCACTAGACGGCTCCCAATTGCAGAATCGGGTTAATAGTATTCAGAGAACCTAAGGCACATTTTTGTTAGTTTGACGGAGAGCATAGACGCGAAAGATAGACGTTTGAAAACAGCAGATTACAATGTCGAAAAAGAACAAGGGGAAGAATGCTTTCTACTTTTTCATGCTTGATTGGAAGAAGCGAGAAGAAGCTAGCGGACGGACGTTTCCCGAAGGTTTACGAGATGTGCAACGGGATCCAAAGTGTAGCGAAGAATGGCAGGTTTGTTATTAATATCAAATTTCATACTTTTGTATGTTATATTTTTAAGTTATATTATAGTATTCGAACTGTAAAGTTGGATCGACCAATAATTACATATTAGGACCGATTCCGATTCCTAGCGGTATATTTTCCAACGCAATTTCCTTACAATTATGTCCGTCTTTATTGTTTTGAAACTGGAGAAAACAAAAGAAAAACATTTTACAATGAGATCACGCGGGAAAATTATCGCATATGCATCAAGTGTTATTTATAATTCAGAAAATCTTTGTTTAAACAAAACACAACAAACAATATGTTCGTACGTTTCTTTTGGAAGCTTTGTTTTGAACGTATCATACCGGTAACTCGAAGGTCATTTTAACCGTGCGTCGGTTAAGATAAAAAATTTGATATCATAATAACATTACAGAACGCTATTTTCGTTGTCTAAGATATTATTTAAACAAAAGTAAACAAAACTAAACACTTTTGATAATAATTTTGAAATTGCAGAATCTTTCTTCACAAGAAAAGGGATATTATAATAAGAGAGCAAAAGATAGTAAGATTGAAGCTCAAGTATGCGTAAAGAAGAAAACAGCAATTGGAGAATGCATAGATGAAATTATAGAAGCTGAAAAAAAACAGGAAGAATTTCGTCAAAGTATGCTTCAGTACTTAAGCTCTGTAGTTGATATGGGAGTTAAACATAAATGTAAGTACTCAACATACAATATTTGTATATTTTTTTGGAAAACAATATGAATAACGAATCATAATTAATTATAGGTTTGGATAAGTTAAAGTTTATAATGATACATGTAAATTGGTTCTATAGAAGAGAAATGGGAATCAATAAATACGAATTTTGTCCTGCAGAATTTGCAGTGGGAGAATTTAGTTTGAAAGATGGCATTGAAAATATATATCACGAAATTCTCAATGTTAAGATACCATTAGGATGGAAAAGAGATGCAATTGAAATAAGTCAACAGACTCATAGAATACCTGTAGAGCTTCCAGAAGGACAAAGTAATTTTTCGATCGTCTACGAAAAATTGTGTAGACTGTTGGAAAATAATAAAACTGGAGACAAATTTCCTCCATTATATACCCCGAAAGATTTAGTACCTGCTGTAGAATCGTTACTGACAAGAATGGCCGACGCTGCCAACGCATCGGCAAGCGACTTTACAATTTATTCGTTGGAAGCACTGTTTAGTAAATTGAGAAATGCTGCGGCTGAACAAGTGGATGATTGCAGCATATCTCTAGTACTTGCCGAACATGAATTTGCCAAAGATACTTTTTCGTCCGTTCGTGATCTCGAATGTGACTTTCATAAGATTATAGATAGTTCATCTCAATATTGTAGTATGTCCATAATAAAGCGATGGGGTTTCACGATATGCGATTACTGCTGTGAGTATCTTAATATACCATTGATCGAAGGAAGGAATTGCCCCATTTCGCAAACAGTTTTTTGCGACGAAGATAGTGCAGATCAAGAAGATATCAACGCTCGTTTGAAACTTTTAAACGTCGATAAGCAGATAGTCGAAATGAATGGGGTAACCGAGGAACATAGAAGGAAAGTATCCGAACGAAATTTTGCGCAAGAACGACGACGACGCGAGCAAGAAACTGTGAACTTAACTATTATTGATCACGGTAAACTTAATTCTTCGTCAAGCAATGCAGCTTTAATTGGTCGTCCACTACGACTTCCTAAAACAACAGCGCATGCTGTCAGCGGAATGATGGAAAATTCTGATTTGAATGCCGCTGATTTTCCACCATTGGGAGGAAAGGGTAAATCACCAAAGAGAGGAACGACAACTATCAAGCTTCCATTAGGAAGAGGGCGTGGAAGCGTCTTTTAAATATACATAACATGTAAAATACATACAGCAACTACTTTATTTTGATATTTCTTCTGGTTTCTGTTAAAGTGATTATTACATTTTAGACTTACATAAGATTACTTATGTATGAAAGTTTATTTTATAAAAGACATGTCGTTACAATTTTTTTTATAAATATGATGTAATACTTCGTTTGAATAAAAATGAAGTACAACTTGAAACGCTTCAAATTTTTGAATCACTGATTTTAATGTCACTAACACGTTTTAAAGTAATGTTTTCTAAATTTTTATGGATCGAAACACGGTTTCAAAAACTGTAATTTTCTGGTTATCTTGGCTAAGAGTTTCTTACGTCTACCGTCAGATATCCCTGCGGTGCATTCGAATCATTTCCAATATGGCACCACGACCCACGTGAATTCCTAACCTATCAAGAGTTGTTTACATACAAAATTGGATTTTATAGTATTATTGCTCAAACATATATTATGGGTGAAAAGATGAACACCGACGAGAAAGTAACTAGAGTAGAAGACATACTCAGCAATATATCTACGGTTACCGAGACAAGTACACCAAACTCAGAATTGAAGGTTAAAGCCAAAAAAGAAAAATCAGCTGTACAACAAATTCCAAAAGGGAGACCAAAATCTGGTAGGATATGGAAGGAACAGAAGACACGGTTCGTATTAAAAGTTTATAAAATTTACTGAGAATTATTGCAAGTTCATGTTTTTATTTTGTGAATAGATTTTCATCTATTGTCAAAACACGTGGCATACGCTTATCGTTTGAAAAAAAGAAGAAATTGAAAGAAGACCTGAAACGTGCTAAAGAAATGACACGGGAAAACAAAGCGAGGAAGCAGGCAGAGAAGGAGGCTAAAAAGAACAGGAGGAAAGCAAATTTGAAACGTGCTGAAGAGAATAGGAAAAAGGGTGAAGTTGTACAAGTTGTAAGTAGTCTACCTTAATATTTTATATTAACCAATAAATATTGTCTTAAAAGTTTGGAAAAAGGACAGAATTAAGGTTAATCGTGATGTTCTCTTCCAGATCACAAACACTACAAAATTGAAGAAAATAAAGAGGAAACATCTTAGAATGATAGAGAAGAGAGATACACTTAATTTTTAGTTTAATTTTTAGAATAATTAGGTACCTACATATTTATACTGATATATATTTTGTTTCTTGCAAATGTAAAAAATATTTTTTTGGTTTAAATATAATTTTAACAAAATTAATAATCAATAGTTCCAACCTAATTTTTAAAACATTACTTAATTACGATAGCTCTCCCTTCCGTCTTTTTACGAAGTCGCGAAGTTCATCCATAAAATTGCAATTCTTTTGATTAACCCACTGAAAATAAATCATGTTATATAAATATTGTTATAATTTAAGTTAAATATTTAATTATATGGAAATTACCATTGTTTTCACCCATTTTGGAAGATTCGCTTTGTACTCTGGTAATAAAAACCTGCAACAGTTGAAGCTCAATAATACGAGATTGATTTAGATTTTATTAAATGTTACAAACCTTTCGTCCACCAGTATAACTGCTCCCCAATCGTTAATATGCCTCAAACAGCGACCCAACGCTTGATTTAAAGCTCTAAATGCCTGTATGGAGTACCATTCTGTACCTCTTAACAGACCTTTCGCGGTATTAGCATCATTGTATTTAAATTTCATATCAATTACTGGATCTTTCCTCACCGGGAACGGTATCCCAACCTGTAAAAGAATATTTTACTGGACTGTTCAAATGTTCTGCTATTCAGAAATTGGAAGCTTTCAATATTTGAAACATTCTGAATTTCAAATATTTTATGCCTCTTTCAACGAATCATACGCCGAAGAACTTACACAAACAACGCAACGAGCCTCGTTATCTTTGAAATCGATTCCCTCGGCTACTTTACCCCTATAAACTGCTAAAAACAAACCACCGTTTATTTTTCCTATTGGTCCGGCCGATGTATTCTCTATCACCTCACGATATTCGTTCATGATAAATTCTAGCTCACTTCCGTGACGTGGCTCTACGAATACTCGTTTGATCCTCGAGATTTCATTCCAAGTGGAAGTATGCTTCCACCTCTCGGTTTGTTTGTACATTACGTTGTACGAGGAAAAGAAACAAAGAACTCCATGGGGTATTGACTCACAAATACGCAGTAATACTAATCCTAGTTCATCCTGAAAATATCGGTCAAGATAGTATGTAGTACGACAGACTTTTATAGAGAAATAAATAACCATAAGGTAGAAACGTTACTTGAAAACCCCAACTGTTTACAGTCTGATAATTCGCTCTCAGCTGAATTCCATTCGGTCCTTTCGATATGCAGGTCGCGTAAACTTGTTCCTTTGGTATCACATGGCCGGCGTTCAAGATATGTGAAAATGTCGTATTCAATTCGCTCTGGTAAGAAGCGGTAGGAGTGAGGGTACCCGAAGCTAGTATTATACATCGGACTGATCGAGACAGTGGCTCGAAGATCACTCCCGGATTCATGCAAATTAATTTCAGAGTCCGTGCACGGTGTTCTTGTTTTTTAAACGTTTGCCACGTATCCTCGGCCAGCTGGAATTTCGACGAAACATTATGGAATATTCGGAAATATAGGACTAAGTTACTTGGATTAACTTTTACACTCACAAATTTAAAATCTTTGACCGTGTTTTCGATCACGCATGCTCTGTAATCGTTCACGTATTGGGGCGTAGTGATCATTCGCATAGAGAACCCCAAATGTCCTAACGTCGTTTGAGTACTGGGAGAGATAATCGGCTTCAAGTTCTTTTGATGCATCCGGCTCTCTTCCTTCATATTGTTTACGTCGGCCATTGCCGCGTTGCAGGCTGCCAGAAACTCTTTATACACGGATTCCCCGAGATTGTGCATGTTAAACAACTCGAGTAACTCTGCACCGGTCCAGTACGGGCTGGATGAAGTGTCGGTGATGTTGTCCTGATGAAGAGAACAAATTCTATCGCTGTCAGGGTATACATTTTCTGGTCTAAATAAATAATAGAGAACCTACGACAATATCGAGACTGATGGTCTTCATGAACTTCACCAGTTTAAGAACATAGACTTTTATAGTATTGTAAGTGGCGAAATCATCCTCCCTTTGTTTCGTGAGGGCTTCACATTCGGTCGCGACAACCACGAGTTGATCCTCGCGAAACGCCACGCTTGCCACCTCTCTGCAAATGTCTTCGATGTTGTGGGCTTCGTCGAGGATGACCACTTCGTCCTTTAAGTCGATTTGCATCTGCACGCGTCAGGAAATTCGTTGAAAAGTTGTTAAATCTCGAACAGCCTTCGAAAACGCACTCGATGACTTACGCTCTCGCGGATGTCAGGGTCGATGATGTAATTATAGGGGCAGAAGATAATATCCGCGAATTCCATCAAATTCCTGGCTGCGAAATAAGGACAGATACCTTCCTCTTTTCCTATAGCTACCAAATCCTCGATGTCCCACGCCGAATTCACACCACGAATCTCCAAGGAGGTGAACGAGTTAATGGATTTCTTGTTGCTTTCGTTGTAAAACGGACATCTTTTACCCTAAACGATTATTTTCTTTTCAGTTCTTTTCACGAGTACATCTAGCCTTAAATTTCGTAAAATTAATTCAAATTAACCTTCAGAGGATCCAAAAGATCATTGCAGAGTTCCGTTTTATTTCTATTCGACTCTTGTATACACGTATGCTCTCGACTGCTCAAAATGGTCATTCTAGAAAAGGTCATTGAACGATTTGACATGCATGCAATACATAATTAATAACAGCAGATTCTAGAGTTCCTCACTTTTTCTGTTTGTAAGCGGTTTTTCTCAATTCCCTTGTAACTTGTTGGATTTGTTTGTGCGTTCGAGTACCGTAATATATTTTAGGAATTTTGGATCTTTTACTAAAAATCATATCAATTTGTATTATCCATTAAGTAAATAAGAGAATTTAATATTCCGAATAATGGCATTAAAATTCTCACGTAGGTTCGTCGAACTTCTTCAAATACTCTTCATCGTAAGCTTCACATGTGTATAAGACTCCTGCACCGCAATCGTTAAAATCTCCATCGTCTATCGGATTAACGTCTGAAATTAAAATCACGTCCTTAAGGAACGTTCTCTTTATTCGTTTATAGTTCGCATCGAGAAAATAGCAGGGTGTGCTGCATCCCTTATCTCATTCTTAGCCTTCCTCGTACGTAAAAAAACGAAGCGAAATTAAAAAGAAAGCTAAAGGGAAAAACGAAGATAGTATTAGATCGCAGAAAAAAGAAAGATGACAAGGGGCGAAGGAAGGGTAGCGTCTATTTCGCATGATCCTCGACGCGAGCGATTTCTAAGGGGTCCGCTCGAGACCGGCTGAAAAGGATTACGCTTATTTAGGGAGTTCTTCGCCGCTGAAAGGATCCGCTGCAGAAAAAGAGACGGAGAATGTACCCTTGCCCGGCCTCCCCCTCGTCCCTCTGTCCCTCCTCGACGGGCTATTAATGCCGTGAAACTCGGAGCGAGGACGAGCGAGAGGAATGTCAAAACACCGGGATCGGGATCGGTGGCAGGTGAAAGGGCAGAGAGAATCCATTGAGCGGGATCAATAGGGGTGGGTTTTATCCACCCTCTCGCCGGATGTCGACAAAAGCGAGCCGGCTACTCGAAGGAAGGCAGATGAGGGGGGTGAAGGAGTCATAGAAGAAGAAGGGCCGGGGGTCGGTTTAATCCTTTCGTGCGATTTACCAAGTCAGAAAAATAGAAATGATCGTAAATGACGATGAAAGAAGAAGGTATGAAATGGATGTTTATTCGTAAGCGGATTCCGGCGATCGAGCCGATTCCACACGGAAACAGTCCTTGAAGAGGAAAAAAGGAAGCGGCTCTCGAAGAAGAATCGTGCTACGAGATGATGCTACCGATGAATTCGTTCCGTGAACGGAGGTGAATAACGTCTGTCTTCGTGTCTTTATGCGACCCCGTTCTTTTCCCGTTTTATTTAACGGTCTAACGTCTTTTTCACGCGGCCTTTTCGTTCACGAGTTCAATTCAATTTAACCCTTTAACCACTGCGAAATTTATGACTTATAAAGTCATAAAGAGATATCGAATCGATCTTGTACCGCAACGAAATAACTCGATACTCTTCGACAAATTGCGACGAGTTTCGAAAGGAGCGATCGAACTTTTTGAAGAAAATAGTCGGGCCGAAAAGGATGGGCAACTTGCCGTTTTTCATAGACGAGACACGAGGGATGATGGCGAGGCTGAACCTCGAGAGTGGTGTTGATCGTCGATAGAGGAGGCACGGTCGCGGCTGGTTGATTGTCGAAAGGGGGTGAGAAGAGAGAGGCTAAGACAGGAAAAGCGGGACGGGGCCAATCAGAACGGGGACTTTGAGGGTGTCGTTGCCAGGCAACGAAACACACCCCAACACCCGAGGGGAGAAAACCCCAAGGGGGTATCATCCAACGATACAGTCGACGCCGAAAGTTATCGCACCCTCGAGAGACGCCCCCTTCAACGTCGCCATCGAATTACCGACTACGTCCTGCGGACACTTGCGGGCTCTTGCCTCTTCAGGGATGAACAAGCATCGATGGTAATCGCAAATGGAGGATAACGTTCATGGACTATAACGTCCATTAATTTTACATTTATTTCTCTTCGACATCGTTTTATTTTAAAATATTTGATTAACGAAATATTTGTTTGTTGTATTCCCTAGTAATTTTACCTTTCGCTCTGACAACCGTGGATCGATTATCGAATAATGTCAATTTTCAGTCGATGCACAGTCGGCGTATGCATCAAATGATTCATTAAAAGCATCATCAATTTTTCGTAAGCTTCTGTTCGAATTAAAATTATCCGTCTGTTACCGATGGTTCGACCAATTAATAGCATAAAAATACGAACAAGCTCAAAGAACATTCTACATGTACAGTAGTTACAGACCTTTTGAAATAATAAACGAGTAACGCCATGACCGTAGATTAATATTAATCATTAATCGATCTCGCTGAACGCGAAATCGAGGTCAAGACACGTTATCGAGCATCGTCGAATGAATCGTTCACTGTGCCCGCTTTCTTATCAGTGAACAATTCCGGTCGAAGGAGAGAAAAAAGGAAATCGAGCAGGACAATACGTTATCGTGTCTCGCGGCGTATTTCGTTTCCATTCATCGTGGAGAGCATGAATGAATCGTTTCACGTCGATCACTCTTTCCGTATCTCTCGTTTCGCCCTTTCACCCTTTCCGCTATGAATTGCGAATAAATAAACAGTTGATGCGCGAGCACAAAGCGTGCGATTCTTTGATTTTTATCATTGACAGCAGAAGGCGATCTTGGCTCGCTAATTAATAGATATCGTAGGCTCTCGATTATTCGAAGACAGTAGGAACAAGTTCGGTCCATTTCACAGATACAAAACTTCGCGACTTTTCATATCGAGGAGGCAGCATAATATCGGTTTTTATTATGCCACTTGGATGTTGCAAGATAACATTAGAAAAAAGTGCATGGATTGAGCTAACCAATTTTCTTCCCCCGTTCGCCAGCTTCCTTTCTCGTTGTCCTTATTCTCTTTCCCTTGGATCCTCGTCAATTTTCGAAATACGTACGATGCCCCCTCGCGTCCAACTACCCTGTTCTGACCAACGACAAATGAAAATCGATCGGTCGGGGCCATTGTACATGCATACGCGCGTCGAGGATTAGAAATTCTGCGATCATATTTCAGTCGATGCACAGTCGGCGTATGCATCAAATGATTCATTAAAAGCATCATCAATTTTTCGTAAGCTTCTGTTCGAATTAAAATTATCCGTCTGTTACCGATGGTTCGACCAATTAATAGCATAAAAATACGAACAAGCTCAAAGAACATTCTACATGTACAGTAGTTACAGACCTTTTGAAATAATAAACGAGTAACGCCATGACCGTAGATTAATATTAATCATTAATCGATCTCGCTGAACGCGAAATCGAGGTCAAGACACGTTATCGAGCATCGTCGAATGAATCGTTCACTGTGCCCGCTTTCTTATCAGTGAACAATTCCGGTCGAAGGAGAGAAAAAAGGAAATCGAGCAGGACAATACGTTATCGTGTCTCGCGGCGTATTTCGTTTCCATTCATCGTGGAGAGCATGAATGAATCGTTTCACGTCGATCACTCTTTCCGTATCTCTCGTTTCGCCCTTTCACCCTTTCCGCTATGAATTGCGAATAAATAAACAGTTGATGCGCGAGCACAAAGCGTGCGATTCTTTGATTTTTATCATTGACAGCAGAAGGCGATCTTGGCTCGCTAATTAATAGATATCGTAGGCTCTCGATTATTCGAAGACAGTAGGAACAAGTTCGGTCCATTTCACAGATACAAAACTTCGCGACTTTTCATATCGAGGAGGCAGCATAATATCGGTTTTTATTATGCCACTTGGATGTTGCAAGATAACATTAGAAAAAAGTGCATGGATTGAGCTAACCAATTTTCTTCCCCCGTTCGCCAGCTTCCTTTCTCGTTGTCCTTATTCTCTTTCCCTTGGATCCTCGTCAATTTTCGAAATACGTACGATGCCCCCTCGCGTCCAACTACCCTGTTCTGACCAACGACAAATGAAAATCGATCGGTCGGGGCCATTGTACATGCATACGCGCGTCGAGGATTAGAAATTCTGCGATCATACCCGCCGCGATTGTCAACAAAGGGATTACGCGAATTTAAATGATTGTTTCGCTGCACTTTACTGTGCATCGTCCATATGTCGAGGACTGGCCTCGCATTGTGTCGTCGCGATTCGTCCGCGCAGCGGGTGGATCGCGAAAACCTGGCTATTTCAATGCGAAATTTCTGCGATGCTGCGTTCGAACGGGGACAGCTGCTAATTAATTCGCGAGATTTCTTTTTTTCCGTTTTTAATGATTCGTCTGGTGCAGACGCGCGTCAAGAATATCAAAGCTGCCACGTTCTGAAGCTGATTACGTTCCGCTGCGATTCGTGCGAGGCCTGTTTGTAATTGAAAAATGAAACGGAACGGACGAAACCGTACAATTAGCGAAATATATTCTAGACATTTCAATCGGGGAGTCGAACAGGGAGAGTCCCGCACAGATCCGATTAAAATCTTTCACGCAAATTGTTAATTTTTATTCGTTCGCATGACTGTTTTTTCGCGTAACATTTTAATAATTTCGCGAGTTTACGTGCTCGCTAATTGTTGGCTAACAACGAATTTTTCAAGGATGCTATAGGAAGAGAGTCGTCGAAAAGAAAACCGTTGTTCCTTAAAATTGTCTGGCCGGAGACCAATAATTGGGATCTCGGTTCACGGTGTCTTCCGGTGTTCTTAACGCGACTCGCCGCCAGGAGAGAGCGAGAAAGAGAAAAGCGAGGTGAGCCTCGAAACGAGAATGGTCTCCGCCTCCTCGTCCTCATCGAGAGGACTTAGAGTATTTGTTGTCGACGACACCGGAGAAACGGGGGAAAGAAAGTCGAGGGCCAATTAATTCGTGGCTGCGGCTTGATTTAGCAAATCGTCGCTAATTGGTTTGATTGCGGTGCTTCGCGAGACTTTGTGGTCGGCGGAGACAAAAGCCGTATCAATACCCCAACCTCCCTGTTAATAATCTCTAATTCTCGAAGCAACTTCCAACCTTCTAACGCTCGGACAAAAGGAAGACCGAATTGACGCTACTTCGGTGGTGGAAGTAGAATTTTTCGCTCGTTCTCGCCGTTACTACTTATCTCCCACAGACTAATTTCAACATTCTTTTCGTCTTACGAATTTTTATAAAAATAGCGGTTCGGGTTAATAAAATTGGCGTTGAAGATTGCTTGCCGACATTCAAACTCGAATGGGTGTCTCGGGCAAGCGCCAAGGGGGTGCTCTTCCTTCCGGTCACAAAAGCAACACAAAATCGTTACATTCCTGGACAAAAGCAAATCGCTACCGTAGCGACGTAACAGTCGAGGAAGGAAGAAAACCGAGGGAGGAAGAGGCCGCCAAACAAAGGGGGTTGCCGGCGATCGAGGCCCTCTCAAGGTCCAAAGAAAGACGGCAAAGAGTCGAGTGGAAAATACAGTACGCATCCAGGGTAGCATCCCCTACGTGGAACGTTATTAGCACTCGCCTGGTCTCGCACATCCACCCAGTGACCTCGTCGCTGTGTTGGTTGCTGCGACTACAGAGGGTGGCCTGGGTGGGTGGAGAAAGGAGAGGAACACGCGAAGAGGGTCGAGAGAATGAAAAGAAGGAAAAAAGGAAAAAGGGAGCAAGAAGAAGGGTGGATGGGTGGAGAGCGATACGTGGAAGAAGCTGTTGTCGAGAAAGTGGAAGGGGTTGGAGCAGCTTCTGCTCGAGAGCACTATTTCTGGCGACCAGAGGGAGAAATGAAAGGGACAGAACGAGTACGAGAAGAACCGTCGAGAAAAGGGTGAAGGGGTGTCGGACGTGTTATTCTTAGGAAGAAAATGTCAGTTGGAGAAACGAGTTAAAAATTCAACGTAGAAACGCGACGAAGACTTTCTAGAGAAAGAAAAATACGGATAGAGAGAACGAAGAGGAGAGAATTTCTAATCGAGAATACTCAAGGATAAAGCAAATACGAGGGAAAAAGTATCCTATTCGAACGGGTATCGTCTACCCCTCCGTTATCCGGAAATAGGTCGAGCAAATAGGTAAATAAAAAAGCTAGAAGAAACCTCGAAAAAGCGTCAAATTAAAATGCACGATGAGGATTCCAGGTGGTTGATAACGGCCAAAGGAACGCGTACCGTCGAAATACTTTCGGTTGATATTACTCCTCTTTTTTTCTTCTTCTTTCCGAAGAGAAACGCGAAAATCAGGCGAAGAAACGTCGTCGTCGATATAGCGGGAAGAGAAAAAGTAAAAGTACACGAGAAGGAAGGAAACGGATAGCATCGAGGCAAAAAGGAAGCGGTCCAAGGAACAAAACGCGGCGCAAGAATCGAAAGAATCGTCGCGGAGTCGGAAAAATCGAGGATGAGGCGGAGAGGGATGGCCGAGAGAGTTCGAGGAGCAAAGAGACACCCCGAGAAACGAAGAGGGAAGTGTGTACCGAGGGACAGGAACCGGTGTTTGGCCGACGGGGGTTGGGCGAGGAGGGTTTCGGTCGTCATGGCGACAAGCAACCCCCGGGACCCACGGAGCTCGTCGCCGGGGTTGGTCGAAAAGGGTGGCCCAGGGCGTCTGTCAGGCAGGTTAGGCCGGCCGTATAGCCCGAATGTCACTCGACACAAGGGGGACACAAGGATGTCCTGGACGCGAAGGGGACAGAACGTCCGTCGAGCTGGCGGAGAGAGCGAGAAGCTCGGGTGCGAAGGGGATGGTGGTGTTGGGGAGGGTGAACGGAGAGAGAGACTCCAGAGAGCGGAGGAGAGGGTGCAGGCAGGCCAAGATGGCCGACGACGCGACACCCACCATGTCAATAACACCCTTCTTCGACGCAATCTGGCGACCAGAGGGAGAAATGAAAGGGACAGAACGAGTACGAGAAGAACCGTCGAGAAAAGGGTGAAGGGGTGTCGGACGTGTTATTCTTAGGAAGAAAATGTCAGTTGGAGAAACGAGTTAAAAATTCAACGTAGAAACGCGACGAAGACTTTCTAGAGAAAGAAAAATACGGATAGAGAGAACGAAGAGGAGAGAATTTCTAATCGAGAATACTCAAGGATAAAGCAAATACGAGGGAAAAAGTATCCTATTCGAACGGGTATCGTCTACCCCTCCGTTATCCGGAAATAGGTCGAGCAAATAGGTAAATAAAAAAGCTAGAAGAAACCTCGAAAAAGCGTCAAATTAAAATGCACGATGAGGATTCCAGGTGGTTGATAACGGCCAAAGGAACGCGTACCGTCGAAATACTTTCGGTTGATATTACTCCTCTTTTTTTCTTCTTCTTTCCGAAGAGAAACGCGAAAATCAGGCGAAGAAACGTCGTCGTCGATATAGCGGGAAGAGAAAAAGTAAAAGTACACGAGAAGGAAGGAAACGGATAGCATCGAGGCAAAAAGGAAGCGGTCCAAGGAACAAAACGCGGCGCAAGAATCGAAAGAATCGTCGCGGAGTCGGAAAAATCGAGGATGAGGCGGAGAGGGATGGCCGAGAGAGTTCGAGGAGCAAAGAGACACCCCGAGAAACGAAGAGGGAAGTGTGTACCGAGGGACAGGAACCGGTGTTTGGCCGACGGGGGTTGGGCGAGGAGGGTTTCGGTCGTCATGGCGACAAGCAACCCCCGGGACCCACGGAGCTCGTCGCCGGGGTTGGTCGAAAAGGGTGGCCCAGGGCGTCTGTCAGGCAGGTTAGGCCGGCCGTATAGCCCGAATGTCACTCGACACAAGGGGGACACAAGGATGTCCTGGACGCGAAGGGGACAGAACGTCCGTCGAGCTGGCGGAGAGAGCGAGAAGCTCGGGTGCGAAGGGGATGGTGGTGTTGGGGAGGGTGAACGGAGAGAGAGACTCCAGAGAGCGGAGGAGAGGGTGCAGGCAGGCCAAGATGGCCGACGACGCGACACCCACCATGTCAATAACACCCTTCTTCGACGCAAAACCGAGCCAACCTCCCTTGCTGCACCCCCGACCACCCTCGCCTCTCGTTCCAGCTGCTTTCCTTCCGCGACCTTTCGTCAGCCAGCCTGGACTATACAGGCTGTCTCATGCAATTGGGACAACCTCGCTTTTCGTTCGTACATCCAAACTGCTTCACGAGTATTCTCGGATTCAGTTTATTCAATCTCGGACCACAATCGAAAACGTGCAATGTTTCATCTTCCTTAATTTGACAATTTTTTCTCGATAATTGATTGGCTTTTTTTTGGAAACGAAATGCTCGAATGTTGACGAAACTTCTAATCGCACTTAACAAATAAATTTACTGTCAGATAAAAAACTGCATCGATTAGTGCATCGAAAAGTGCAGAGTTCGCTGGAAAGAAAGATGCAAATTTACTTATTACTGAAATTAATGGAGAATTTTCAATTGTCCGAGATGTATGGAACAGCCTGTAGATTCGGCACGATGATGCGCTCTCTCGCCGCGATTTTCCCCGGCTTCTTGCCTCCGCTCGCGGTAATTAACGCGACGATCCCCTGCCACGAAGAAGAGAGAAAGGGCTGGAGAGAGCGAGAGGGAGAGAAAATTCGGAGGGGAAGCACTCGCGGAGGCCATTGCTGGCGAGGGCGTAATTCCGTTAAGTGTCTTCGTAAACTTCGTTAGCTGCATTTCCCGACATTACTCACCCTCCCGCATTTCCACGCACCCCGTGCAGAGCCACACGAACTCGATGCTCTGCTCGCGTGCGTTCGATGCGCTCGCTTCACACGCTCAAAGTGCGAAAGTTTTTTTCGTCGTGTGCAACGGTAACTTGTTAATACAGAGACGATTAAAGGATATCCCTTTACGTTCCACCGACATAGAGCGTACTATACAATTCATTATTACGATTTCGATCGAATTATTCATTGTTTTTAACAAGTTTCAGCTTTCGAGGTATCGTACAATACGCGAAATCGTTCGCAGCCACTAAACCCCTTAGGGGGAAGGGATTCGATTTGCAATTCGCGTCATAATTAATGATTATCGTTATCGTCGCTGTCGTTGAAATGAAACTACAATCGAATTCGCAACATTAATACACGTTACATGTTATCAACAAAATTAATAACCGCACGGTGCATTCATTACAAGTACTCGGGCTATTATCAACCCTCGCTTAACATTCTAATTTAACAATAAAATCGCTTGATTCGGATCCATTTCGGTCAATTTCCAACGGACATCGTAGCGCCATTATACTCGATCCAAATGAAATCACGAACCTAATATAACGGCTAGGGAAGGACGTGTATATTTTCCCTCGAAACTGCTGTTATCGTCGAAGTTTGTCGATCACATTTAACATAAATTGCAATTTTCATTATCTATACACGATAATATGCGAGTACGAGGAAGCGGCATCGATGTACTTTACCAATCATATTGTTATAATCTATATTTTAATACAGTTTTTTATGAGACAGCAAGAAAATATAAAAGATGATATAATGTTTTATCGACGAATATCTCGATGCAGAAACGTTTCTTTTCTTCCGAGAGAATCGATTCGAGCTTTTCTTTCAAACGGACACGTGTTTCTGCCTTGAAAAGCAGATGTTGCAACAAAATCGACCGACTCTATTAAATATAATAACCAGCGAGGGTTTTCATGCCCGAACGGCTCAAAATGTGTTACGCAATATTCGTTGTTCCACTATCGGTCCAGGCACAATGGAAGCAAAAGCCTGGAAGTTCCGAACGATGTTTCGTTTCCGCCCGAAACGAAACTTTCCCGAGCGAATATTTTCGTCTTGCCTCGCGAATACAATTAACATTCATGCACGAGCGTCTTTTCTGCAAATCGCGTATTTTGTATCGTTTTAAACGGATAACGATTTACTTGCTTAACACGGCAGTTTGCAATAATGTGACTCATAATTAAATTAAATGAAATGCTTGTTTTAATAAAAAAAAATTAGTAAGGAATAATTATTACTTACTGGACTTCTGCTCCTTCTGCACTTGAGCTGAAACAAATGGAAATAAAATACATTAGAGGTATCACGAGAAATTTTGGGACATAAAATTAGTAGGCTTAAAAATTGTGTAATCCAATATTTAAAAAATTCGTTTCCGCGTCTTTATTAGCGGACAAAACTTGGGCAGCAACCTAATATTTTTCTCGTCAGGAGTGCCGACAGGATTATGGGCCTGTCAGAGGCCTAATAACTGGTCCCGCTGGGTCAGCACGCATCTGATACGGGAAACGGTGGCCCTTCTCTTTATACAGTGTGCGCATTAAACACTAATCGCAATGCGTACGATCGCTCGAGTATTGTACTAGTGCACGGAATCATCAAAGGCTGCCGACCAAGGGAAAAAGCTTTTGCGCAACGTATGGTAGCCGACCTCGTGAGACTTCTTTTTCCTCGACGGGATCACGCAAGCAAGAAGAAGAGTTTCTATCGATGCGATTCCACCCTCCCGACTCCACCCCTTTTCTTTGCGAAGGTCCTTCTTTGCGTTTACAAATCGCACGGACTAATTTCCGTTTCGCCGCTCTTTGGCAAAACGCGCTACACCTTTTGCTTCTTTAACAGAGTATCGGAGCTGACGGCAGTTATTAACTTTTTAACGAATTTTATTTACTTTACGTAAATTTTTAACTTTTAATTGCTGCCACGCGTTTAACCCTTTTAAAAGTTGTAGTTCAAAGCTGTCGGAAATGTAATAAATAGTAGAATATTATGAAATCAAATACTTTGTGGGAATGTAACGCGTTGATAAAAACTCGGTTAACGTTAAACTACTGACCGATTAAAGAGTTGTGCGTCGAAGCGAATTATAAAGAAGAGATTTTACAATTTAAAGTTCACTCGATTAATACGGATTATTGATAAACGTTCCAGTGACCGCTGCGTTCGAACTAATTTTCCCATGAATTTGTAATCGGAATCGAGTGTCAATCAGTTTTGATAAATTTGTTGGAATTAATTGCGTGGAACTACGCTCAATATTGAACCGTATCAGCAAGAAAACACGTGTTGCTAACGAACGCGAATTCAATTAAAAACTTGTATTCCTCTAACACGGTTATTAAAACGGTCTTTTCAGTATACCGACTTTTTAAATTCCAAATATTTTTCGTTAACAAATTTCAATGCCTACCATCGCTCTTCAATTCTAAATCACTCTTAACACTTTATCATTCGATACCTAATTAAGTATCTCGAGATATCCTTCTACACTTTCGAGGTTTATCGATCACGTGTCAAACTCTGACTGCAGCCAGCAAAAGAACGCGGCGATCGATCCACCGAATCGATCGCTGCATCAAACGAGGGTTTAAGAGGATCGAAGCAGAGTCACGATAGACAAATATCTAAGTAAGCAGCGTATTCGATTCGCAAGGGTCTGTATCGGCCATTTTCCATGATCGAGCCAACCCCTCGCGCCACAGGAACGTCCCTGCAATTTCCTCCATCGTTTTGGGTAGGGGTTGCGAGGCTTCTGGAAGAAGGGATCGTACAGGGCTCGTCCATGACGCGAGGAGGGTCGGTGGCACGGAATTTCAAGCCCGTGGGGACGGCCAGCGAGATATCCGAGGATATTATCCCTCGGGAAGCCGTGTAATGAAACCGTTCCGGCACCCCCGTGCTATTATCCCCTCGGCAATATAAGCCGGGGTGAGCCGGACAAGGATATAGGTGGCTGATACGTGGCGCACAGCTGCACCCCGCCACGCCCTCTTTTATATTTCATCCCTTAGCGAAAACAGCGAGGAGCAGAGAGGGGCAAGTTAGGGAGAGATAAGCAGAGAAGCAAGATAAGCCGTGTCAGCGAAACGCGACGTCATCGTCATTAACGAATCCGAATAATTGTCTGAGCCCTCCGAGAACCGAGCAACCGCCGCCATCACGCAACCCTTTACCGTTCAACGGTGGACCGACAAGGGGGTTAGACGATCGAGTCGAGACACTCGTTCGCTCGAGATTAACTCCTTGGCTCGTCCGCTTATTGCGATCGTTCTCTTCCAACGTTCGTTTCTTAACCGTTTACAACGTTGACGAACAGCTCCTCGTAATTGCTCAGAGTTCGCGACAACGAGAGTCGAAACGATACAACCCGAATTTCTACCCGGTTTAAATACTTTTCTCGTGAAAGCGTCGTCTGTCGAGCACGCGACATATAAACGCATAAAAATGAGAAGGCTGTTCGACAATACATGTAAACGATATCAATCGTTTTAGCATCGATGGAGGCCAACGTTCCAAGCGATCCATGGACCGATGGCAACCCCCGTGAAACGAGCACGACCAAAGGCAATGGAAGGAGAAGGGTTGATGGAGGGTTAAAAGGGAGGAGGGAGGAGGGTGGCCGCGGGGGTTTCGAGGGCTTTACGGTCCGCTTTCGATTCATTGTACAATAATATGACGGAAATGTCAGTCAATTAATAAGCATACCGAAGCTGACTAATTTCCGCCTTTGTTCGTTCCACGGCCGGGATGGATGAATAAGTGGCCATTATGCGGCTTTTATGATTGGTCAGATCCGTATCACGACAGCCGGTTCCGCTTTTATAAACCAGCGCCGGCACGTCGAAACGAAACTTCTCTTCTGCGGCGAACCTTTTTAACCGCGTGCACGTGCCGCCCCGTGAATATATCCTCGTTCTCCTTCGTCGTTTTCTTTTTCCCTTGCTCCTTCGTCCTCCTCCGCTCTCTATCCTGTTCTCTTTCTGGAGCCGCCTCGTATCCTGAAACTTTGCTCGCATCCTACGCTTTTGTTCGTCAGCTCGCGACGAATTCATGAAGTTCTCGCGAGTTTCCTAGCGGATCATCATTTTTTTACGATACTCTGCAGGATGAGCTTCGCCATACGAATTGTTTAGGCGTTCGAATTGGTCGTGGGTACAGTGCTTTTTCGCGACGCTTCGAACGGTATGTTACTCGATTTTAAAAGCGACGTAATTCGGCAAAACGAAACCTCGCGAACGACGAAATAATTAATTTTGTACATTATTACGTGCTCGTTTAAAGTACAAACGATAACGAGATCTGGAACGCGGAAAATTTTCCGCATTTTCACCCTTGTTTATTTCGGGGAGAAACAACGGAATAAGGACGGGGGCTAACAATTACGCCAGTCTTTGTCTCCCTTGACCTTCGCGAAATTAAGCTTCCACGGCGAAAAATAATTTACCGACGAGCAAACGTTGCTCTCCGTTGATTTCCCTGGTCGCCGCTGTTTGTTTTGTTTACGGTAATTAAATGTTCGTCTCTGACAACGTTTGGTCGAAAATGGAACCGTGATGCCGACCCGATTAGTCGAATTAACGAGAGTGATACACGGTAAAACCTCGCTAAATTACACCTCTTTCGGCTGGGCGCTTAAAAAGCAACCTCGGATTATTTGTCCATTTATTCGTTCACGCTAATGATGGCGTAGAATACTTTAAACAGGTGATTTTGGGATACGAGTCCTTATTTCTGGACGTTCCTATCGCTTTTTATTACAACGATATTTTCGATAACGCCGATTCCAAAACTATCCGACTACTGATACATAATTGCATCAATGTTCGTAATCCATAAATGCAATCGTTTTCGAAACCGAATCATAAAAGGGAGAAAAAAACGTCGAAGCTTCGTCATTCACGAAGAGAGAGAAGAAGGAGGAGAAGAGAATGAAAAAAAAGGTAGAACGAGCGCATGTCTCAAGGGTGCTTCGTGCGATTCCATCGCGAAGGACTCATCCTCGACGCAGCCTGAATACTATGGGCATTCAAAGCCCTTTTTTCCACGATAATTACACGCGAAGCCACTAATTACGGCTTTGCATGGTGTGCATCCATCGGTAAGAGGAAATGGAAGAAAGAAGGCGGAGGGTGGTGTTGAGCGAACGGGAGCCGAGGGGTTGCATATCGCGTAGAAGCGACTCGGTGGCTGGAGATCGTCGAAAGACGGAAAATGGAGCGGAAATTAAAACGTTCGCTCCCGGATTCCTTCGATTTTCTCCAAACGAATCGCCCTACATCTTCCTCGACCGATTTCGCTTTTTCCTTCTTCTCGTCGTATCGCATGAAAAATAAATGAAAATTTCTGCACGAATTTTGATTTTCATCGAACCACGAGTCTCGAATATCAATTATTTCGTTAAAAACTTCCATTACTACAACTTATAATAGCGAAAAAAGGAAAATTATAATGCTACGATCTCTCGACTCGATAGATGCACCAGGGGGATGAAAGAAGCATCCCCCAGCGATACGTTCGTTCCGATTTCCGTAATTAGAATATTAATCGCGAGCCTCCTCGATCTCAGCCTCCTTCGTCCCTTCAATTATGCATTCCCTTTCGATCACCCCTCTTTACAACTCGAGGGGTTGCAAGGCACAACTTCCATCTATTTTGTTTCCCTCGCGAACGCGTGCTTCCGTCGAATGATGTCGCGGAAGGGGTTGAAAACTACTGCGAAGATCAGCGACGCTTTAAACGTTTTCATTTCGTACCCACCGTCTTCCGCTCGCCCTTCCGGCTCTCTTTTTCCCTCGTACGAACTTGCATGCTGATAAAAGGGGATGAAAAAGAGAGAAAAAAAAAGATGGAAAGGAAAGAAGGGTCGCTATGGCGTCCATGGACCCGTAGCTGATTGGACGATGGCAAGGGTATGCATTTTTAGCCTCCCTTCGGATCTGCCCTCATTGTCATTTTAATTTCAATCCCCTCGGGGCCAACGAAGGCTGGAGCGAATCAGGGGCGAGAGCGGACGGGGTGCAGAGAACCAGCAGGACGCACGCACCCTTCGCAAGATTGCTTCGACTACTTGGTTACAACGGGGACGCTTTCGACCCCACTAACCGGGTGTCTCGACAAAAATTTTGGAAATTTTAACCGCTTTTTGCTTACACCATTTATCGAGTAACTTCTACTAGTGATTTTAATTTTACAAGTCGCTTCATGCAGACGAAATAATTTCTTACAATCTATTCGATACTTCCAGTGATTGCAGCGAACAAGTAGAAAGC